TTTAAAAGCAGGTAATTTTTCCATGTTCACTAATATCCAAAGTTTTATGAGAAATACTAAAATTCCTTAATGACAGTCGTAATACAACGAAAGGTCAGCAATAAACAATAGGAGTTCCCACGAGCGGAGCGGCCACATCTGCTTGCCGCATGCCGAAAGCACCCACAGTCCACTGTTACCTATTGTATTTTCACAATGCAGTAGAGATTAGGCTATGCAACGGCAAAGTCCGGACAACGAAGCCATAAAACATCTGCGAGACCTCCGTAGTTTGCGCACTGAAGAAAACACGGCACACGTGTTCAGAATCCGTATTCAGGACTATTATGAGTCAGAGTAATACTCTTTAACCGTCAATATTAGTTATAGATAACATCTTTTGTTCAGAAATGTTAGAATTATTCGTAATGAAGCATTTAATAATCCTTTCTGAACACCTGCGTACAGAACAATAGAAAGTATTCGAACTTGCTAAAACTTGTTTGAAAGCTTATTATACTATTTATCCTGCCAATGCGAGAAATTATTGTTAATAGAAAAGCTTTTTATGAATTACCTACATATAAAACATAAAACTTTGTTTTTCAAACATTTTTAACATGTTGATCTTTATTTATTAAAACTAGGTGTCTTCCCATTACTCGGTCACCGTATGATGTAGCCTCCTAGTTCCTAAAATCAATCCAGTAATTTCGAATCCTATTCAATGCAAACAGACAATCAAGTCTTACCTTTTTATAATATTTCAACTAGCTAATTGTTTTCCCGTGACTGCACTATCTATTTATAGCCCGTGCCAACCGCCTCTTTGTAGCCTCACGTAGATGAAAGAATTCAATGCAAATAAATGGACAATCAAATCTTTTTTTACTCCTAATATTATTAGTATAGATTTATTAACTAAATGTTGATTGATTAAGAAGGTGTCGATTGCTAATTACAACATGTTCAATAATAAGCGTGATCAGAGATGGATTTGCAGGCTTGGCCGCCTTGGCAGAGTAAGTGCTACATGGCCTAGGGCGGCCAGTCTAACCTCCTTATTTTTGTTCTGATAATTTAGGCACTGCGAATGAATTTAGTTGTGTATACAATGAAGTCAATATTTTTATATTGCTGGTATCTGTTGGTATAATGTCAATAACAATAGATATTCCTATAATAGGATTACATCTAACACAATAAACATCTGAGTAATGGCTGTCATTTTTCCATGAAAATACTTCGAAATCTATATGAAATAACAGCTGTTTTATTCCCATTATGCTGTTTTATTAATAAGTGAAGATATAATTACTAGTGCCCGGATTTTTTTTTACATTATTCTTTAGGCATACAATATTTTATGCCACTATGGGCCGAGCTAGGCCCGGGGTTAGGTACTACAGTATTATTGTTCTGTGGGTACTACTGTCTCCTTCATGCATCCACGAATTCAATCTCTGCATCATTAGAGCATTCTAATTAAATGTAACTTTAGAGAAATAGTTAATGTTCCATCAGCAATTCCTATCATTTTTACAGTCGTTATTACAGCAATATTAGGATTCTTCTATAAGTAACTTTTTTTAATTAGCAAAACAATATATTATACTCGGAAAAAAAATAATTTTAAGTTTCAATGTCTCGGACTGAGATTTCGGGACACTTAGCAGCTCATCATTCGCGTTATCTAAATTCGCACAAACATGTGTTTTGAGATGTTTTTCTTTTAGACAAAACAGATACCTATTCTACGAATGCAAAATTTGTTGAAATTTTTTTGATTGAGATTTCTTTAAAATAGGCTGAAGTCAATTGAGATGTATCGATACGTAAGTTACAAAACTCATTAGAGTATAAACAAAAGCTAAAGCTGAGAAGCCGGGTTTTATCGCTCTTTTTTCAATGCATACAAATTATATACTTGCAGTCCCCAAAATTATAAACTACTTATACAATGGTGTTTATTTAGCAAACGTAATAACATCGAAGTCGATTTTACGACGCTGTTGTGTCGTTGTAGAAGACAGATGTGACAGGGACAGTGCTAATTTTGTCTGTAAGTGCGTTTCCTGCAATGATCTTTTAAATACCTACGTCGTGTTCTATGTTCTCACCTACAGAAATATTGCTTTTGCAGATAAAACTTCAAATTACAAAATAACATGAAATGAGGTTTTTAAATTTTAAACGTCGTATTTAACTGGCCATTATTGTTTCCAAATCATACACTTCGAAAAATTCTGAGACAAAATTGATGATGCCTGGCTAGAATAGAAATTCTATTTAGTTCGTCAGTCAGATAATAAAGAAATATTAGATCCTTTTTTTTTTGCTTCAATTTAACCAAAAATGGCTATGATAATAGGCATTGAAGTTGAGAAGTGGAGGCTTGCTACGTCACAGCAATGTAGATATTGTGAAAAAGGTGTGACGTCATGCGACATTTCAACTCAATGTTATAAATATAAAGTCATCATCCCTATTCGATTTGAAAAAATCTATTAACTAGGTCCCGTGATCAAATCTCTTTTCTCGATGGCCGGCGTCTCATTCAACAAGTTTTGCTCAGAACAGTGGGCTTTGATGGATCATGTTACCTTTTTCCAATAGTTGCTATATTCATTTGTTATTTACAGTGAAGATCATTTAGTCCTAAGAATCTAGTTGGATCTTTTGGATAGATAATAATAGTATGTATACTACTTGGTAAAAATTTATTATTATTAGACCTATAGCACATAAACCCACATAATTGAAGGGCGCTACCTACCTATTGTCCATGGTACCTAACTAATGTACTGCTTGACTTTCTATATTTGGGTATTTGCTATTGCTCTGGACCGAAAGCTGTCCCTTGCGCCAGTCGCGGCAGAAGGCAGACGGTAGCAGCTCACAACGAGGGCATGTGCCGCTTGGAAGACGGCATTACTATGCAGTATTAATTTGTAAATGTCTCGATTAGTTGCATTCGTATCACGGAATCGATCTCATAACTATTAATGCTTAATAATACTATCATCCGTTTCGGAAAATGCCGTGGCTGTTTTCTATTGCCGTTTGCCTCGACCAATGGAATCGCACACATAAGAATTACTTTTAAAAGTAAATGTCCATCCATATGCACGGACAACTGATTTTCGATATCTTTGTATGAATTTGTATAAAACTCTGTCCACTATAGATTTATTTTTATTCTTTTTAATTAATTGCGTTGCCCTTGTGTATTTCGCCAGAAAACCATCCAATTTTCATATTTTAGTATTTTATAAACATGACAAATCAAATACTATCAACAACGATCACTAGGTAACATTTTGATTCCCTATAAAAAAATCCACTTCCATTTACATCCCTTTAAGTGCTAGTTTTCAGGATAAAATATAACATACTTAAATACCAGTTTTCATCGATATAGGTCCAAAAACAAAGAAGTTTCATACAAACGTTTTCACCCTTTTTGACCTATTTCAGGAGTTTTTTCAAAAATTCGTTCTTAGTAGACCTCTATGTAATAGGATGACTGTACCCTCCAAAATTTCAAGTTTCTACGACCAATGCGGCTGTGCGTTGTCTGTCAGTCAGTATGTCAGGACATCTACTTTTATATATCGCACTCCCGGTGCGACACTGTCACTTATGCAAAAATTTAGTTTTTCAGGAGAAGAGTTTTAAACTCTGCCACTTCACAAATAATGACTTTAGAAGATACAGATGAGATGAATTATATGGAACATACTTCCGTATGATTCATCTACAAAAGTAACATTATCGCACCAAGTAAAGGGGGCTTTAGGACAATTATTACATATTTAACAAATTTTTGTATTTTTTGCAATAGTGACAGTGTCGCACCGGGGGTGCGATATGTATAATCAGATGAAAACCATTACCCCAGCGTCATTTAATTATTTACTCCCCGTATTACCCCGTGTATAAATCCATTACCCTATTTATGTTACACATACGTTTTTGGGTCAATTGATTAGAGTTTTGGAGCAAACTAATATTGTAAATGTTTTCCATTTTTTCTTTTTGGAGATAAAATTAAAAACAATATTATGACGTATTATTAGATAGAAACCTATTACAATAATTCCCTTGCTTGCCGCCGAAGTGTTTTGAAACGCATAATGGGATATTTCTGTATGGTTCTGACGTGACGGGCTGTTTATCTTTAGCCGCATTTACGATCGCGAGATGAATTATTACCAGTTACTAAATGACAGCCTGTCTCCGGTGACCAAATAAAACTGACATAAAGCTAAATACGAAATTTGTTGCTCATTACGAAGTAATAATGCGTTTATAAAAAATGTAGATATATATTAAGATATATGAAATGGCAATGCGTCGAAAAAAGACGAGTCTCATAAATTTAACTTACATGTAAGAAACTGTACGTAAATTTAGAATTTATTTTTGGCTTAACTATTTATTTTTAGTATTAGTCTTAAGTCTAACTAGCCAAAAAAATCGATCCGAAAATAATTAAATTTCATTAAAAGATATTGTAAATCATATTTATGTTTATTTTAAAAAGCAAAGTAAAACATTTTGTAATTATCTAAGAACTATTAATCTATATTAATGCATTAGCTTACTGTGTCATTCATTTATAGCTAATTTTTGGTATTCTAGATTATAAATTTGACTTAATCGCACGCTATGAATACGTATTGTTATTCCTATACAAACGGATAAAATTTTCATCGATTGTACGAACAATAAAAAAACGTACAATGCTATTTTCAGTCAACAATACAACAAAGTGACTAAGAAAGTCTTTTACCATGTGCCATATTATAGGTACTTATTTTTTTACGATAATTCAGTTGACAAGTTCTGTTTGTCTGTAAAATAATCACATTTATTATTACAACAAAATAAGTACATATATAAATATATTTACGAGTAGGTAATACAAGAATAAGTATCCAATATTTATTATATTATATACGCATTGTCTTTTCAATACTTTTTATAAGCTTTGGTCCACTTTTAATAATCTCTTTTTTCATTATGTAGCACAACCATTTTAACTCGAACTTTCAAGTTTCATGATAAATAAACTCTTATACACAAACAAGGCATTTTAGATGTCCTGTAAGGTAAACAGAACAGAAACATAACATTTTCAATAAACTATCACATGCTTTTAGTTAGAATTGAATAACAACATCGTGACTCTTAACTTTAGTAACTAAATTACTATAACAAAATGGAATATTTCGAAAGATTTGTACAGTTCTTACATCACGTTTGTCCATTGGTCCATTCTCCTTCCATTCTCCATACGGAGAAGGCGTAGCTGAGTTTGTCTTGTGCGAGGTACTTGCCATGGTCGGAGCCGGTATCGCTGCCACTGTCACTGGCCTGTTCGCCACTTGAAAGAATCTGGTACAGGAACTCGATGTAGCGCGTCGCCAGTTGAAGCGTCTGAATCTTGGACAGCTTGTCGCTCGGCAGCGATGGAATGATTTGTCGCAGACTCGCGAAAGCCTCGTTTAGGCTCTGCGTGCGCTGTCGTTCGCGGACATTCGCCATCACCCGCTGCACCTGCATCTCCTCGTAGCTCGCAGACTTCTTTTTCGACGATTTCGTGCGTTTCCTCGCTCTTCTTTGATGTTCTGTTTCTGTCATGTTCTCGTCAGTTGATGAACGATGTAAGCCAATACCTAATTTTGGTATGTCGTTGTTTTCGTAATGTGTTTTCATGCCATCCTTTGAATTGGAGTCTTCAAAACAGAAATTTCTAGGACACTGTCTCTGATACTGATCGTAAGGGGGGTACTGTGACTGAGGGTATACTCGTTCGTCGCCATCGAACGATAAGTTCGAAATCCATGGTTGATGTGGGGGTCTTTCGGAACTGTTGCTTAGATCCATCAGCTGCATGGGTGAAGACGGCGCGAAAGTTGGTACTTCTGAATATCGTTCGACTCCCACAGGTGTGTATGTGTAATAATCATTTTCATGATACTCCGTATCGACTTCACGTTTAATGGACACAGGAAAATGGTCTGTAGAGTCGTAGTTCATATTGTCGCGACGAGCAAAATAGTAACGCACCAGGCGGCGTGCGATATACGTGCGAACGGTGGGCGCATCCGGACTGAGATCCTGCGCGCGCGTCCCTTCATTGACAAGCAAGACAAAAAATAAACCGCGCTTGTACGCTTGCACCTCCCAGAGCGCCGCCTCCTACGTAAGCCCCATATGTTAGACAGAGACGGGTATAATAGACAGATCACGGGACAGACTGATCATCTTTGTTCATCTTGTCCGACATAGTTATTCGTATTTACTTCGCATACATTATACATAGGTATATAGACAGGTCGCCATAACCGATCGCTTTAGCGATGTCGCATCCTGTTTTATTTTAAAGGAGATCATTGTTTCAGGATCAGGATACATTTTATTGGTTTATTTCTTTATTCAAAATGAAGTAAGTTGGCGCTGTCTTAGATTATAATAATCCAAGGTAGAGTTTCCTAACCTTCTCCAGTTCACGGACCCCTAGAAAATCAAAAAGAAGGTAACACCAACAAAAAAACAATTAAAATGGTTCTAATTTTTAAAAAGTATATTTTTACGTAAAAATGTGAATAATTTCCTACTTTTTGGCAACTAACACCCAGCTATACAAACGATTTCTAAGGTTAAATTTCTAAATTTGAAAATTTGTATCGGTAATGTTGCTGTTACTAATGACAATTTTAATGGAAGTCTGTGCAACTAGGTGTAGATCTATTATAATGTTTGAGGGTAATAGTTACTATTACTACTTTTATTTTAGTAAGTATTACTTAACAAAAAATGCTTACAAATCCACTTAGTCCCTGGTGCCCTAAGGTGGGATTCGAACCTACGACCTTTCGCAATCCGGGCGACTCAGGTTTTTTAAGCATTTTTCATTAAGAATATTTTCTAGTACAGCATTGTGAATGCAAAAATTTATCATATATAATAAGTATTACTTGTAATTCCGTTAGCGCACATTCGTCGTGCACCAAATATGCAGGCCCCCATACATCTCGCGGATCTCCGACGGGTCTGCGGACCACAGGTTGGGAAAAGCTGATCTAAAGAATTAATATTAACCCTAAAATAGAAATAAATAATAAGGTTTAGAAATAGTCAGCGGCGACCCTGACCGATAAAGAATGAATGATCGAAAAAGATACGGTAAGCGGAATGAAAGCTTTGAGCGAATGATAGAATTGGAATGAACGAGTATATTAAGAATAGCAAGAGCCAAATGACAAGGTTTTTCCTCTAGTGACAACCAGATAAGAAACAGTTTTGAGCCCGGATATAATAAAGCCGGGCATTAAAAAGCATTAGAATGTGGACATTAACACCAATACTTTTCTACAGTTAAAGTTCATAGACATGTATGATTTGCAAATTCAAATTTAAAACTAAAAACTATATAATGTTCATTTCAAGAAAAGGCATCAAATCCCATTAAAGCGTCATGCCAATAAATATGAAACATGAAATTCGGCGCCAGGGGTGCGTGTTTTTTGTGCTGCCGTGTCGTGTCCTGGCGACTCCTAAAAATATCCTTGACGCAACCGAACAACAGACGATCCCACGCCGAGCGGGTGATCCTTGCCGCGCGCGATATTATAAATATTTTATTTATTCAATCCATTTTCAATAACGGCATCTGTTCAGTGTAAATTGTTGATAGATGCTTGATTGAAACCAGTTTCGGGGCTGACTCATGTCTTGCAGTCTCCAAAGTTCAGATGTGTGCCTCTTATGTAGGTTGCTTGATTATTTTCAATTTAAACTTTTTTACCTTCAAAACATAATTTCAGCAGGTCTCATAAATTTTTGAAATTGTAATTATTGCAGATACTATAGATATATAATAGTAGATACCTACACGATAGCATTATCAAACAGCATTATAAAAATTATTTACAGCTGTAATCAGGATACGAATTTGCTTTATTTGAAATAGAATCCGATAACCATGAATCATCTTTTTCTACTTTTTGAAGATTTTAGATAAATTATTATATCTACCTGCTAGCTAGATGTCCAATCCCTAATTGACTTATTTACTTTTATTTATTATATATCTAGTGCTTGTACTTACTATGCAAAAATGTGTTTAATTATTAGATTACCTACATAGTTGCTAATAACTCTGTATGTTCATAGAAAAATGGTAATGAAAGGTGTTTACATAATAAACCATTTCATTAGATATTTAGGGGAACAAGTCACACGAGAACGATGTTACCGAGAGTTATTATTAGGTTCATTATCCGTCTTACGTAGTCGCTCTAAATAAACATTTAATTGATTTTATTTTTACCTGTGATATCACAAAAGATAAAAGGACGTTGTTGTCATTTTTGAAATTTTCTATATAGTGTCTTAAAAAATTTGACATATTTTAAATTCCTTAGTTACCTAAATAATGCATAGAATGAGACAAACTGGGTTTAGGTGATATTTTTCTTAGTCTGTTAATACCGATAAAGGTTGTTATGAAAAGAAAAAATCTGCACTACTTTCGGCGCATATCTCCAAAGCCCCTTCCAACCAAACAGTATCTAAAACTATTTTCCTTTCCGAAATTAAATAGTTTTAAATTAAAGAGACGCCTATCAGTCCAATGAAACAAAATGAACGAATGCGTGGAAACGTATTTGTAATTTTTTAACTGTGGAAATACGATGTTGAAAAATATGGCCATAAAACAAACAGTGGTCAAGCTCTACCATGCTAGGTTTACTGTATTTATAAAAAATACAAGTAGGTTAATCGTTGAAATAAAAACGGTTTTACATTTGTTCGATGTTTTAAAAAAACTGTTTATTGTGATAACCGAATAGCACACAATTTTGACAATAATAAAGAATTGCTTGCGGTTGGATGCTCCGCTTGTCCATATCTTAAAGCATATACCAACAATGCTTATTATTTCATTTACATAAATATGAATATGATAGAAATAATAAAAATATTAAAAAAATTACTAATACTAACTAATATACTAAAATAAACCACTATCAAATTATAAAAACACTAACAATGTAGAGAACGGAGAAAATAATAGCAGTTTTACAGAGATGCATTCTAATCGCTGGAGTACAGTGGTAGATAAAGACGATGATAACATTGTGAATGATTAGCTTTTATTTCATAAATAGATAAATAAATAAATTTAATTAATTAGTATCGCTCTTTATTTATTAGCCAACCTGATAATACCGTAATATAGGTAGGGTGTTTTAGTCATTACGAGAAAAAATCTAAAACTATACAATTGAGATAGCATAGGCAATAAGCAGTCTGAAAATGTTAGTTTCGGTGCATAAAATATATGGTATTTTTTCTTAATTCAAGTCAGTTTCCAAATCTTTAGTCTGTGTTTTAGTACGCAAATCAGTAGCCACCATGATGTGATATCTTTCGGTTTGTAAACTAACAAGAAAAATAAGTTTCAAGCAAGATAAATACGTTTAGAGATTATTTTAATGACAAAACTAAGGAAAAGTGATTTTTATTAAAACCATGGAACATGGTTTTACATAAAAATCAATAGTGAATTCAAATAAATAAAGAAGTTTTTCTTTTGAGTGTTAATTATGGAATGATACTTGTCATCGAAAAAATATCCATCCATCATCATTTTCACCACGACACACATAGTTTTGATGCTAGTTTGAGAGCTACGAAATTTCCCCGAAAAATGCATTCTTTTCTACACAATTACTCGTCGGACACAGCGTCGAACATATTTTTTTTTTAATTTAAAATTTTCATAGAATTGCTTTCTTTCTGAGTTATTCGCAATAATTGTTTGAAAAATTTACTCTTTTAATTTACTTTTAACTGGCTTTCCATCTGCAACTTCGCTTGCGTAATACTGTATTATAAATACTCGTATAAAACTTTCTCTTGAGTTATCTACTATATATATTGATGAAAGCCGCAAAAAAATGTTGTGTCGTTTTAAAGATCTCAGTACCTATACAGACAACGGGAAGCGACTGTGTTTTGTACTATGTAGGATAGATAGGGTATTGTTTATTTTAATAACTATTACTTAAATATAAGACTTTGAATTTTAAATTTCATTGCTTTGCCCTGAAAATCCCATACTTTCTTGTTTTTCACGCTCCAAACTCTCCATCACATTTGCTTCTAAGTTTCATATAATTAGTAAAATGTTTTACTGATTTTTTGTAAACACAAATACCTAAAGAAACAAAAAATTGATTGTGAACAATAAATTATATCGAAAACCTAATTTCAAGACCGTCAAACAACCAGTCCGATCAAAACGTTAATTTCTTTAGAATTTTACCATTTTCCATTTCGTAATTATAATAGATATTTTAAAGTAAAAGTCTATTTGTGAGTCCGCCAATCAAGGGTTATCTTTTTGGTTTTTTACAATCATCATAACTAATTATGCAATGCAATTATGCATAAATTTTTAACCCGCTCAAAATTATGTTTGCCTTTATTTTGTTTCATGATGTTGTGTACACATGTCATTGGAAGTGCAACTTGACATGCTGCATTGTTATCTGATGACTTATTTATTGATACTTCTGTTTGTGTACCGAATAAATTAAAAAAAAAAGGATGGCTTATATTTTCCAAAAAAAATTTTTTTAAGGGTTTCTTGCTCAGAGGCTAAAAACGGAACTCTATTTCTAAGACACCGTCCATCCGTCTGTCTGTCTGTATGTCCGTTTGTGACGAGACAATCGCGAATGAAGGGGAGGCAAACATTTTTCAAAATATTACTTTACCACTTTGTTGGCGAAATTAAAGCTAAACCGCGGATGGACGGTCGGACGGACAGACGGACAAGGCGAAACTATAAGAAACTATAAACCTTGTTTACTACGGAACACTAAAAAAACAGAATAAAATAAACATTTAAGGGGGCTCCCATACAATAAACGTGATTTTTGTTCGTTTTTTTTATAATGTCATTGTACGCTATCAAGGAGACACGCCACATCTGTCTATCGGTCAATTGTACAAACGTCCATTAAGGTTTAATGACGCCTTAAAGGTGTAATGAATGCCGAATTAGTATGGGTAATGTCACTTTAAACTAATGAGAGTTTTAATGGACATTTGTGTAATGGAAATTTTTCATAGGTAATAACAATAATAGAAGAAAATTAACTTTTGTCGTATTCGATTGAAGATTTATGAGAATAGTGCTGAAGACGTCTTAGTCACCGTGAGGAACGGAAGCGCCCAATAAACTTATCATCACCATTAACTCTCTCAAAGCAAAATGTTTATTTTCGCAAGAAGTTCCGATATAAATTATTTTATATCGAATATTGCTCCTCCTTATTATGTAGGTACCTAAATACCAATACGAAGCTGTAATATATTTCTATCTAACATCGTATTACTACCTATTTCTGTATCGTCAATAATCTATATTTCCTACACAGTCATTTTACTTTAATGTAGTGCAAGTCTTATGAAAGACTAGCTTTTCGCCAGCGACTTCGCCCACACCCTATCTATGAAAAAAAAAACCGTTACGTAGTTATAAAGATTTATGCATACATAGGGATATAGGGACATAGAGTATGCAACTTTGTTTTATACTATGTAGTGATATAAATAATTATTTTAGTCAAATGTAGTATTTACATTTCTATGCAGTAGTTATGATATAAATAACATAATAATAATCGTCTTCCTTTTAACGAGAGCAAATGTAAAATAATGACATTTTCACTAAAACGTAATACAATAAATGCAAATTATAATTTATTTGACGCCCATTTGGATAGAGTAAATTGCATACGTGACCTAGGAGTAATGTTAGATGCAAAATTAGATTTTCACATTCACATAACTTCAGTTTCTAAATCAGCTAGTAAGACTTTAGGCTTCGTCATTAGAACTGCTGCTGATTTTGATGATGTAAGGGTTGCAATAACATTATACAACGCTTATGTTCGTAGCAAGCTCGAATATGCTGCCGCTGTATGGAATCCGTACGAAGAGAAATATGTTTTGCTGCTGGAAAGGGTACAACGGAAATTCGCTCGTTGGCTTTATAAAAAACTATATGGTTACTATCCATATCTATATCCTTCCATATTTGTCTCGGGTATGGTAGGTTTGGAGACCCTTAAGTTTAGGCGGATTATTGCAATGGTGAGACATTACTTATTTGTATTGCACAATAAGTTGGACGCACCGTCAATATTAGGCAGAATGGGACTTAAAGTACCCAGATATTTGTTGCATAATGAAGACGGAACGGTGGCTCCACGTCGAAATCAGCGTCTTCTGGTTCGACCAGTAACGCGCATCAAACGTGCATTATATGCTCCAACTAACCGCGCGATAACACTCATAGGTGATGTAGTCGCTCGGTACGATGAAATTGACATATTCGCACATAGTTTGGCAGTTCTCATGACTAGTTTTCGAGCTATTTTAGATGACATGGACAAATAATTTATAATAAAGTGACTTAATGATAAAATTGACATTGAAAATCATAAATTATTAAATGTTTTTTTGTAATTATATGTATGAATGTTGTAAAATTTTATGTTGATATTGGAATTCTTAATTCATTAAATACGTATTTTATACGTTATGTAATGTTTTATTGTATACGTTATTTTATATGTAATGAATGATTTTTGTAAATTTTAATTGACATTGGAAATAATAATTTATTAAATGTATTTTTATTATTTTGACACAATAATAGATTGTCTGACTCACTTTGTATTTGGTATAGGTTTTTTTTATTTTGTTTTGTATTATTATTTATATTTAATGAATGAACAATGTAAAATTTTGTTTCATAATTTTAACTTGTTGGCATTTTGGATTTTAGTCTGTTGGCTGACAAGTCTTTGTACCTATAAATAAATAAATAAATAAATGTATATTATTTATATACATGTAATTCTAGCTTCAATAGGCCCATGGCTAGTAGACTACTTATTTATCAGATTACAATACATATGTATGTCTAAAAAACAACATAAACACGCCCTTACAAATATTACAGTTTTTAATATGATTTCCTCACATTGAGGAATCGGTCAATATAATATCTAAGACGAAAAATACTAATGTGAGTTTTTATCGTTAAAACTTTATATTGTTTCCTTATAGCCATAGGGGGCGTAGTCATAGGAGTGTCGTTCGGCCGCGAAGAAAACGCCACACATGCTTCACATATGCGATGGAGGTGTACCGTTCGTCTGTAGCTATAGTGCTGACCTAAACTCCGTCAGTATTTTACAAGAAAAAAGAAGTAAATATTTGATGAGAAGTTATTTCAGCTACGCTACAAGAAACCTGGAACAATATTCCACCTTGTCTGAGATCACAAAAAATTCTCCTTATTTGAAAAAAAATTAACTGCAGTTTTTAAAATCTTAAATACCACCTATTTGTTGAGAAACTTCATAGCTCTAGTCATAGGATACGGCACCATAGCGATGCTATGGCGATCAAAACAATAAAAATAAGACAGTTTTCTGAAAAAAAACCCTCTTTTTAAACAACTTCAAAAAAGGATGTATCAATTCGAGGTATCATCATTTCGTTGGAATGGTGTAATATACATATGTTGGTCTATATGGGCTTCTTAACACGTGCAAAATTTTATAGATGTATTTTACATACACATGTTTGTCCACGGATAATTCGCAAACTAGATGCCGGATTGTAATTATTCTTTTTGTTTAATTACTTAGCTGTCAATATAGGGTAGGACAAAATAAGTATCATCTAATCGATTTAGTAATTTTGAAGTTATAAGATAAAGCTAATTATAAAAGGAGTTAATTTTGATGATCTTCTCTTTAACCAAATTCAAATAAAATTGTGGTATTATTTCACTTTTTTCAGTCGTTGCACTATATTACGATTTTTCGAAGTCGGTTTAAATTTTTATTATACCTGTGTAATTAATAATTATCTACACCTACCTTAACAGCAAATAAAAAGTAACTCTTAATAATATTCACAGATGTTTTAAGGGCAAATTAAGATTATTTTTAAAGGTAAACTTCGTTGCTATCTAAGAAGATATTAATGTTAAAAATCCATGAAAAATACAAAAGAAATTTAAAGAATTCCAAAACAATCCCCGATAGTCCCATTATTACCGTGCAGGTGTTCAACTAACAATTAGGTATTTTTCTATTGATTTTAAATGTTTTTAATATGTATTACAAAAAAGGTGCCTTATCGTTTCGGGCATTAGGTAACAATCCGAGCCCTGACTACGGATAGTGTACACGTGTGACGTATTTTTCTTCAGCTCGCAGCTGTGACATGCCTGACAGTTGTTTTATGACATCGGAAATTTCTAAGTCTATTGATCTGAATATTGCAGCGTAGAGCCTAATCTCCGCTACATTGTCCAAAGACAATGGGCAGCAATGGACAGCGGGTATTTTGGCATGTGGCACACAGATGTGCTCTCTCGTGGGAATTCTGTTTGTTTTATTGCTGACCTTTCCTTATTTTACTGCTGAGAACAATTTCTGTTGCTTTTAAGACGGCAAAAATTATTATATCTAAATTACATCTTTTTTGTTACTAAACAGAATTATCGGTCTTCAAGTAACAGAATCTATATTCTATGCGCATTTATTAGGTAGTAATTTAGTAAGCAACTTGATTTAGAAATTAAATTACCTAATAAGTTAAATTACCTAACTCCTATACCTAACTCTTTACAAATGAAAATTTAAATATACTGACTAAAGGTTACCTTAAAATCGATATTTTTCGTTCTACCACGAAGAACCCCATCGGATATTCATTAGTTTGGTCTATAATCTGTACATTGTGATTAACCACGGAGTACCTACCAATGTGTTATTTTCTATTGTATCGGGAAAATTTAATAGATCTTTAATGTTAGTAAAATGCATCCTACTTTCAAACAAAAAAACGAAAAAGTTCAAAGATATTTCTAATTTAGTTTAATGTTTAATACCTTTTGTCATCTTTGTAAAACAGACTTTACTAACGGTAGTTGTCATATAGCCTGATAGAAGTTCGCACTTTCTACGAGACGCTTAACAACGTTTTCTTGCTTGTTATCTAAAGCAGGTGTCATGTACAGACAAAATGCTTAAAAATAAACCGCACAACCTTAAAGTGTTAAGAAAATAAACTTGACTCCATCCGTAATCTCGTCGTTAAGAACATCTGCGGCTCAAACTAGGGGATGAGGGCGTTTATCTTTCTTTACTCTACATTAAAGAAGATTAAAGTATAAAACAACACCTACGTACTTAAGTATAAGTACCAGTTTACAGGTTTTTATAAGAAATTATGCCCTTAAATGTATGATGAATTATTAGGTGGATGGAATAACATCATCTTTACCATTTCTTTTTCTAGCTTTTAAATATTTCCGTTTAGAAAACTATGAAATATTAAGTACCTCATTTTTATTTCTTAATTTATGTATTAATTACAAAGATAATATCCACGGATTTTATTTAAATAAAATTATTATAAGAACGAAATTATTCGAACCTTCGTTCGAAAACAAATAGAACAGGCCCTCAGGTGTCATGTTAATACGTACGAGCTATATATGTTTCTATTTTATTTGAAACTAACTGTTTCCCGCGGGATAGCCCGTATGATATAACTACATGTAGGTGAAGGTACTTTTTAAATAAGACCAGTATTTTCGAAGCGATGCATACAAACAAACAAACAAATATAATATTGCTATATAGTATATCTCATCGCTTTAAAAAAAAACAAATATTCAATGCAAATTACTTATCGTCTCATATCTGAAATAAAATATTAAGTACCTACTCAGTATTACCACGATTAAGATTATCGTAGATAAAAAAACAATGTTAGGATAGGATTAATAATTTATTTCAAACAGGTTTCATGGTAATGAAAAACTGAATATATGCTTATATTAAAAATTGTGGCTCGACTTTGCAATTTTATAAATTACTATATTACTTACAACTTATAGTGCAAACTTAAATATGATAAACTATTGTTAATATGCTTGTGGCCAAAAAAATCTATAAATTGTTAAAAAATAAACAAACATTTACGACATAGTTAAGTAACTGCTAAGCAAAATTTTGTTTAGAATTAACTATATTCTGAATCAAATTTGAGTTCAAAAATATGTCATTTGTAGAATTAGTCAATTGCAGAATAGGTCATTTGTAAAATCAGACCGTTTTCCAAAATTCCTTATAGAAAGTTAATTTGTAGGCTGTCTATATAACTCGATTCTGACAGATTTGTGGGTTGGATCCGGTTAACAAAACCACATCCAAATGCTCGCTAAGATCATGTACTACAGTTGGTCACTGAATACAATTTGATATGCAATCGCATACTAAAACAGCTATAACATTTATAATTTCGGATATTTTTATATATTTAGTTTTTCTTATTTTATAAGATAACTTAAGGCATCTTAATATTTTTGATGGTAATTATATTGAATACCTTTCAAAAATGTTAAGAAAAGTATTTTCTTTTTATTTTTAAATAAATATATTACATGATTTTTGTCAACTAGTATTATTGTACGGTTCGTACACCTTTTTATGATAGAGAGAGAGAAGTAAAAGTCTTGATATATTATAATTGATATATTGTAACAAGTAAACTAAAATTACTGATATATGGAATGATAATGATGTGAGTACGCGCGGCGTGATTGATTACCGATGACGAACTAACTACAAATTGACCTAAATTAATGAATGTAGCGTAAAATGATTACTAGACAAAACTGTACGAGTTGGCTCGTACAATTATAAACTGTAAAAAATATTGTTCGTATGCAGTCATTTAATTATTTATATTTCTATCAGCATCGTCCGCCGGCTCAATGAAAATTGGCGCCCTTTGCAAAACAGTGGAACTACGTCCATAAAATACTTGCACACAACAAAATAAAATACCAATGTAGGTACACAAATTAAAGAGTGTAATTTTTCGAATGACTACAAAAACTCCTTAGGTACTGCTGGTTTGTATATTTTGTACTTTTAAATACCGCGAATAAGACTTAATAGACATTTCCTATGACTTCGTCCGCGTGGTAAAGTTACTTTGAGCAGTAGTTCTAACGAATATTTACTCATTATATAATAAAATACCTGAAATTAAGTTTCATCCCCTATTTTAGCCCGTTAGGGGTGAAATTTATCAAAATCCTTTCTTTTGTGATTCCTACGTCATATGCATGCAAAGTCTCAGCCCGATCGGTTTAAAATTGACAAAGTTTCATACGAACTTTCATCCCCTATTTTATCCCCTTGGGGGTAGAATTGATCAAAATCCTTTCTTAGCTGATGCCTACGTTATAACATCTACTTCAATGCTAAATTTCAGCCCAATCCGTTCAGTGGTTTGGGCTGTGCGTTGATAGATCACTATGTCAGTCAGTCACCTTTAAGTTATATATATTTAGATGTTCAAAGAACAAGAATATTTTTTTAAGGTACTGCATTTTTAAGGTTCATATAATCTGCTTGCCATGCCATGTCACCTCCCAAATACGAGCGAGCGCCCTAGGCAGTTGCCTAGTATGCCTATATGGACCGGCCGAACGCGGCCATGTCTATCAGTTTTTGTTGAATAACTTGTCAAAGCCTAAAAGGTATACCTACCTACTATATTCCTTAGTCTGCGATATTTATAATTTCCAAGTAATTTTTTACCTTCTTGTAATTATAATGTGTCTGTGTTGGTAGAGCAAAATAAATTAAAAAAAAGATTTCCATTACGAATACAATTATAAATATTCTTTAAAAAATCAATGTCTGATTTGATAAAGGCTAAATTCAACTATTAACAATTGCACTAAGCAGATAGAAAACCAGCTGTACATTCTGTGACTCTACATTTGAGTTTGATAACTAATTAAAAGTAATGTTACATTACATATGGATACCTAGGCAGGTATCTAGGATTTTTTCGTAAATTATTGTGTTATTATAGGTATTTGCACTACATTGGTAGATCATTGGTAATTTTTTAAATTATTTTCATCTTTTCGTCAAACAGATCTTTCTAAAACATTATGGCAGCCATATTCTATGTAATGTAAATAAATTTGAAAGATGATTGACAAGATAGTACGAAGACGATCAAAATGGCCGTTTTTTCCGTCTCTCTCTAACTCATTCAATGAGCCAAACGACCGCAGGAGGCGGCGCTCTTGGGGCGCAGGCGCAGCGAATCGGTTATTTTTTGTCTTGTAAACGAACGAAGGGCACAGGACCTCAGTCCGCCCGCACCCACCGCCGCCGCACGCATGACGAGAACACGCTCGTCCCCGCATTGCCGTCCGCCGCGACTACGACAACATGAACTACGAGACTAGTGATTTCCCAGTGGTCATCAAACGCGAAATCGATACCGAATATCATGATAATGATCGTTATTATTCATATATTCCACTGGACATAAAACAACAACCTGAAGCACTGATTCACGGGACAGCATCGCCGACTAACCTCATCGACCTGAGTGGCAGCTGTGAACGACCCCCGGTACAGACGTGGCTTCCTAATGTTTCCTTCGACGGTGAGGAACGGGAATACGCGCAGACACAGTTCCCGGTGTACGACCAGACTTATCAAAAACAGTATTCTAGAAATCTCTCCTTTGACGATTCTAATTTTCAAGAAGAATTACGCCCTTACTACGAAAACAACGAAATTCCAAAATTGGGCGTCATTGGAAGTTGGTCAACGACGAATGAAATCTCACCTGAAACAGAAGAGCAGAGAATCGCGAGGAAACGGAAATCATCGAAGAGGAAACCTTCAAGCTACGAGGAGATGCAGGTGCAGCGGGTGATGGCGAATGTCCGCGAGCGACAACGTACACAGAGTTTGAATGAGGCATTCGCGAGTCTGAGACAAATGATTCCATCTCTGCCGAGTGATAAGCTATCGAAGATACAGACACTTCAACTAGCGACACGCTACATAGAGTTCCTATACCATATTCTGTCGAGTGGCGAGCAGGCGAGCGACAGTGGCAGCGATACCGGCTCTGACCACGGCAAGTACCTCGCACAAGATAAACTCAGCTACGCTTTCTCCGTATGGAGAATGGAAGGAGAGTGGACGAATGGACAGACTTGAGAAAAAAACATTAAGTTAGTAAAAGAAAAAAACATCTAGTTGGTACAGGTTAACTAATTACTTAAAAGACGAACTATTCCATTGAGTGATTTAGTAAACAAGCTAGTTATGTGATACCTATGTGTAATAAATTTAATGTTTTGTGATCTAAGTAGCTAATGGCTGCGCTGACCGCTTTCTCACGCTAGGCGGCACTAGTTTTATTGTAAGCAGATCAAACGTCAAATTGGCGCAATTTAGCTAGAAAGACAGCCATGGTGTCGCAGGATTGTGATAAACACAAGATTTTTATCACATACCTAGAGTAGATCCGGAGGATGATGTATTAGAACTAAAATTTATCATAAACCTATGAAAAGCTAGTTTTTATGATCAAAAACCTAACCTTGTTTAGGTCGATGATTAAATTTTAATCCGCGACGATTATACATTTCTGTTGACTGTTGATAGTTCGACTTAGTTTTAGAATGGATGGTATGGATAAGGACAGAGATACCTTCCTACCTACTGAAGAAAAATGTATTTCCAAAAAAAGAATCATCAAGGTGCGGAGCATTTTAGTTTTTGTTTATCACATAACTAAACCAAAATAATTTATAATTAGGTACATATTCCCTTGGCACAACGCCCCAAATCTAGGTTTTTACATCATCCCTAGCAAGTTTAGCTTTATGGTAACAAAACCGGATTTTCTTAAATTTATGATAAGTAAATAGAAGAACATAAGAAGGAAAACAAAAGATAGCGTATTTAGTTTTCCTACTTTTAATTTTGGCTAACATCGAAATTTTTATTAGGTATAGTAGGCAATGATAGAAGATATACTCACATATTATTTACTTATACAAAATTTCCTCCCGACCTCAATTATTTTCATTAACATATATAAGTATAATAATATTGATCTACTTCTTTTGTGAGACGAACTTTAACATGATCGCCAATCTAACTAGCGCCATCTACATTAGCTTCATAGATTAGTGACCATTTGTAAAAGTAGTAAGGTGTAGTATAATTTAGTGTAAAATATTTCCTTCCTTTTTATTTGGGAGAAAACGATGCAGCTAGTACGTACCAAAAAATAAAGTGTTTTGTAAATAATTTTTCCGTGTAAATCATCTACACATCTTCTATTCCATTTATCTTAAGTAAGTATAGGAATATTAAAATATATGTACTAAGTTTTTTGTTATTCCACATGTTTTAACCAAATTAAATTTTGTAAAAATCCAAACTCATGAAACGAATTCGAATTCACTTCAAAAAGTGGCAACTGCTCAATCTTGAATTGGTAATAACGTTTCGAGGCATAAATTAAGTGAGTTTCGAAATGACACAGTATACATACATATAATCAATCAATTATGTCTTGTATTTTATACAAAAAATGTAATCAATAGAATTTCTTCACTAAATGACGTGAATTGGGACACATGAATGAATTCGAATTCGGGATCGAATTTTTACAGAATCACCCTGCAGATCCAGATGTTTCATGATGTATATAGTATAAGTATATTTTTTATTATAATTTTCGGATCTTAAATGATTTATTTGCACATACCACAAATAGGTATATTTTTTATTTTTCTTTTTAAAAATAAAGCACAATACTTTAAAGTCCAAATTGTTTTTTTTTTTTACCAATATAGCCTCGTATGAACAAATCTTCCCTGGGCAATTGGTTAAGGTGTATCAAAAACAATATCAATCAGGTAGGTATCTATGAAAAATTTTCGAATCATCTTATATCCCACTTCCACTATCTTCAGCATTTAAAAATAAGGGAGAACCGTCGAAAGCTATTAATTGTACATATTTATATAGTGACTCAAAATACCATAGATTTTCTAGGCAGACAGTTATATTAGGCCGTCATTTATAATATTTGTCGACAGTTTAAAGATGCTTTTAAACCAACGAAGTGACATTTCATTTGGCAAAGTAATACGCACTCTATTTCTTTATTCGAACAGTTCAATATTATATTTCCTGTCTTGGCCAGCCCCGCGCACCTAAAGGTCCTGCAGGGCTTGGGAGTGGCTAGACAAGAATCAATTATTTGTCACTATAAAATCGAAGTCTATTTCTGTAGCAATAAAGCATTATATTACTTTGCAAAATGGTTTCGCAAGTTTAAAGTTCGGTTATAGTGTCGCTACGGTATCGCAAAGACAGGAGAGGTAGCACTGCAAAACATATCGTCATCATCAAACTACGCATTCTTCAAAAAAGCTATAGTCTTTCGCACCACAAACTCAGATTTTATTTTAACCCGATACAAAAACGAGAAAAACGGAATTAATTCGATATAAGCCTGGAATATTTTTAATCAAGTTTGTGAGCCAATTACAAGAACTATATTTAAGAATCCATCTCATTTTAGCTACGGAAGGTATAAAAAAAAATCAAGTCAAAAAACCTTCATTTCCTTCACGCAAAATTTCTAACACGACTTTTTCACAAATTTTGGTTTTATTTATCATAGCGACAATGAAAATTACTGAAATCCAACTAAACAGGAAATAGTAATTTTTATTAAACTTTATTTTTTTAGTTCTAGTCATATTATAGTAATGAAAAAAAAAAAAAGTTATGAAATAAGTGTTTTGTATTAGGACAATAACACCTTTTCGGTAGTTGCATTTCAAGAGCAACCCTGATTCATAAATAATTATAAGGCTATTGGTATGCAAATTTTCAATGGATTCAAAACAAAATATACTTAACGCAATATAGTAATATCGATTGAAGTCGTATTTCACTGTTAATATTATTGATTATTTGACAAATATTAATTGTCCGTGTTTTTATAAAAATATGAGTTTCCAAATATAATACTAGGAATATTAATGTATTTCATGGAAGTAACATAAGTAAGAACGTAAAAATAATTAGAAGTCACTTTATATGTATTTTGCTTATCATACCATTGAGGAATAAAAGGAATTTTATTTTTTTTACTAATAATCCGAAAGAAAGAAAGGAAATAAATATATGATACCCTCATAATAAAAAAAACAGCTGTTATGTTTTAATGTTTGATCTCTATACTGAAAGTTGGTATTTGTACAAAGAGCATGCCATAATATCATCGCCATATTGGTTTACCTAATGTAAAACGTCTTACAGACATAAGAAGCGCATAAGATTAAAGCCACTTAAATTTTCGTCTCACCAGTTTAAACATTTTCATATTGTTTATCATAAAGTATGGAGTTGCAATAGAATGCACAATTTTCTTCACCATTCCCTATAACAAACTTAAAGAACTCTTTAATTTTTCTTTGAAGTTACACGAATAACGAACTTTGTTTCAAGTACAAATTAGTTTTATTATACAAAGAGGACTACTTTCACGGGAATACTTTCACAAACTTCCACACTTATTTTCATCTCTTTATTTGCTGTTGTTTGGGATATTATATATAGCCTATATTCACCGCATATAATGTTGCTTCTCGTGGATGAAAGAATTTTTTAAATCTGACCAGTACTTTCCCATTCGATGCAAAATACAAACTCTTTCCTCTCTATAATATTAGTATAGACTACAATCAAATAAAAGAAGCCTTAATTTAAAAGTTAGTCCTTCATCCTTGTGATTCGCACGCCGATTTCAAGGTGACGCTATTTCTGAGGTCCCTGGTTCGATTACCGGTCAGGTCAATATAGAAAATGAACATTTTTTACTTATCTTTGGTCTTGGTGTTATGGTACCTTCGTTGTACGCTGAAGGTTTCCATAATACACGTGCTTCAGCTACTTATGGATTAAGAGCTGCTTGTTCAACGAAATTTATTGTTGAGTCTCACCGTGGTAAAACTTTTAAGTGTCTTATTCACAGACGTGTTATTTTCTCAAGGTCAATTCAACTTGTTACTTTATAAAAGCTTCTTTATTAGATAAACAACTAATAGAAAAAATTTGCTAAAGGTTTCAGAAGTACACAAAGAATGAAAACAAAAATTACTTTGATATCTTTATTCGAATATTTGTAATGCTATTTTAAAAACCCCACAATGTTTATTTATTGATGGATACAATTATACACCTTCTTTCCTTCCTTTATTGCCGGTTTACGAATCAAATGCCTATAATATTGACAGGTGAAAATCGTGACGTATTTGATTGGAGAAGAATTTTTGGAGATCTACAAAATAATTGTAACGGGATAATTTATTTATATTAATACACAAGGCGCTACATTGTATACTAGCTTTATGCCAACGGCTTCATCAGCATGGTCCTGTATTGTGTGTATATATAATAAGCCTTCCTGTTTAATCACTCTGTATGTACATTGATGAAAATCGCATTAAAATCCGTTCTATAGTTTAAAAAATCTTAGCGTACAGACAGCGGGAAGCGACTTTGTTTTATACTATGTATATGTTGCAGTAAACTAGTTAAATCAGCCGTCCAAGTGGGCGGCTAGCCTTTTATTTGAATTAGCGAATTACACAAGATAAGATTACACTGTAATAATAAAGTGAATACTATTATTGTATTGGTGTTACCTACAAGTGATTCAACGGAGTTAAAATTTTGAAGTTAGACGGTTGCAATTACAGTTTACCATTGGGGTTTATATTCACGCTTTTAAAAATTAATCTTTAACTTCATGTATTTTTCCAATTTTATGTATGACCTATTAAAACTCCTTCCTCGCCATTGTAAAGAAAAACATGACATCGTCGATTCCTCCCTGGCAATTTAAATCATCTTACTTATATAATAAATGTGTGGCGCCTAATGGAAATGACGGCTGAAAAAAACCGTATATCTTACGCTATCAATTAGAGCATTTGTTGATATTTTAAATTATTCAATAGTTCGCCAACATTATAATATCTTGGCGCTTCTATCTTAATGACAGGCACAGCCATTGGTGTTACATTCCAAATAAAATATAGCAATCACAGTTTCCAACAAAGAACAAGATCATGAACTAAACAAAAATAATAATAGTGTATAAGAACTGTGTTCACAAAAGCTGAATTGTATGCATTTAAAGTCGAAAATTTAATGTGTTCTGCAAATATCATATTAACACAAACCTTGTATTAATAATTTTCAGAAAATGGACAATACATTAGATAACACTCCAGCATGAACAGGAATTTGACTCAATAAAGTTATAACGAATAACCTATAACTACAGACTTTTGGCTTCGTCTTAACTAATAAACGTTATTCCATAAATTAGTGGAATACTTGTTAATTATTGGATTATGGTAGACGCAAATCAATCCGAACGGATCGCGCCGAAGGATGCGCAAGAAAGGAATTTTAAAATACTTTGTATGAAAATATGAACGTCTGGGTACGAACGCCTAACTCTTTAGCCAAAGGATACGGCATCTTAGCGATGTTATAACGAACTTTCGTTTCATGTTACTGTTGTAGCATACCTTGTTGTGGATAAATTTGTGAAAATTTACTAAGTTGGTAACACTGTCATCAAATCTATAATCATTATTCATTATGGTTAGTTCATCGTTACTAAAATACTCGTTAGAGTAGTAAAATAAACGAAATTTCAACATAATATCGATGTGATTTCGTATCCTATGAATTATGGCTAGAGACGACCGTCTTACTCTCTTTTAATTAATCATAAAAGAATATAAAAGAAGATTCATTGGTAAAAATCAATACGTTCTAATAGCTATGACCAGAGTTTACAGCGACGCGACGAATCCTCAGAATTTTAAAGTCATATGCAAAGCGTAAAGAAAATTCGTTTCGTTCGCCTCCTTCAACTCGGATAAATCTGCTATTAGCCTTAAACACGAAATTCCATGTCTATACTATTCAATACATTCCTTACAAATATTTAGTGAAGCTCATCAAGAAAAGGAACAATATAACTATAAACGTAACTATTTCGAAGTGTTTTATCTGATATTACAAGAGTATAACATTTCTACTCTATTAACTTAGCTTTTATAAAGAAAGATCATCTGAATGCTAAAATAACATCTTATCGGAACATTACTTGTTTCTTTTTTATAATTTCCATGATTATTATTACAGGAGTAATTAAGGATCAGGATTAGGATATTTAAAACTCCGATCGCTTAAATAAATAACTTAAAATAAGTTTTATAAAAATTACCATTAACATTGACTGAATTTATTGTCGTCGATCGTTTTTTATATATTTTGATTTGTTGCGTGGTTTTCAGTTTGGTCTTTATTTTAATTCATTATAATAACGTTATTCAGGACTCATTGTCTGACATATTCCAATTTTGTCAAATTCAAATTCCAATGCTAGTATGTCGACGTCTTATTTAATATCGAATTGATTAACGATTCTTGCTTAGTATCACAGACAATATAATACTATAAAAGTATCGATACACGAATTCATATTAAATGTACTAGGTACATTGAAACAAAAAGATACAGTAAGATCCAACTAATATAGCTCATTGATATACCAAAAGGTTAACAAATTCGAATATTAACATAGACATATAATCAGAATGCAATAGCAAGAAAATTCGAGTGTGCATCATCACGTGACCCGTGGCGTGGTATTTTACACCTAATGATTATTAGTTTTAATATTGTATGTATAGTCATCGGCAGAATTGGCTACCTCACAGTTATAATAATAAATTATGAAATATGTTGTAAATGGAAACTATAAGTAAACAATAACTATGGTGATATGAAAAAAAAATAAGTATATTTTATTTTTGCAAAATTAACTTACTATTTGTAATCTGTGGATGACAGAGTTTCGTGTGACGTCACATTTGAAAAACTAAACGTCAACATCTTTGTTGCTAGTGTAACAAGTACTTATTTTAATTGAAATGTGATGTCACGGCTCAAAATTTCATGTGACTGATTGTTTTCGCGGGTCTATTTAAATTGTATAAATATATGTGTGTGTATGTGTATGTAGAAAATAAATCTGATAGTAGTATCAAATCATTGATTATTTGTAAATGTTAAAATACTTTCCGTTAGAAAGAGACAAGTAGCTAATTGATAGGTAAAAGTGCTCTGCGCAAACGAAAATTCACCATGAGCCATATTAGTTGGGACTAAGGTCGGTCCATATCTGAAGGAATATCTACCGCGAAACGTCGGAACTGACATAATTTATAATATGACAACCTTTCACACTCGTAGGATGATCTTACTCCGTCGAACGTACTTACGCGATATACGCGTTCCTCTTGACGGATTTTCCGTCATATTAGCACCGATCCTTACTATACCAGGAATACGATATGCCTGGTACTTTTACTACTAAGCGGTACATACGATAACGAGTCAATTTTTATCACTATATAATATTTGGACTCTTCAAAATGCCATGAAAAACCCTACGAAATGAAATAATGACTGTGACGTATGAAGGTGCTTATAAAACTCATATGATCTCATTACTTTCAACAATAATGATGCTAACGTCAGATGAAATAAAAAAAACTAGGGGGCACATAAGAGAAGACAAATATGGACTATGTCAAATTATTAAAAGACCAAACTTCATAGGTATAAGTGTAGGGTAGGCATTGTTCATACAATTCATGTTAACGTATATAATACAAATTATTAAACAGATAAATATTTATCTACATATTTAAGCTTCATATTTACAGTTGATCGGATGTTATATCCAGTTCATTTATCTGAAACAAGAAAATATATTTATGACTAAATTCTGAACTTATGGGTAGTTATAGATATTCAACCGGAATAACATATTTTTTCTTAAAAATTCTATCGGCAACATCAATACTTATGAATTTTTATTGATATATATCTATTGTAATTTGAAATAAAAAGTTTATCAGTATTGGCGCGTCGTCACAGAGTGCATATCAAAACAAACAAACAAATAATTTTGACATGAATACTACGTTTTGCAAGTATTGTGTAGTGCCTGGATGTAAAAGCACGAGTATAATTACACCCAATAAATTGTTTATAAGATTTGCAAACAATGAAAAATATAAAGAAAGTGAATAAAACTTGCACGGAGAGATTTTAAATCTTAGTTTTTTTAAATACTAGTTTATCCCAGCTTTTATTTGAATTCATTTGAAAATGAATTCTGTTGCGCGACTTATATAATAATATTAATAATAAAAACTTTATTTGCAGAAATTTGGTTTTACAAGTTATTAAAATTTTTTAAATGCCCAGCATATTTTGTCGTCAGGACGACGTGTAAATATTACATACATGTCATCTAAAAAAGAAATATAAAAATGTCAACATAATTCCAAAAATTAAAGTACAAATTGTCACTAAAATGGAATAAAATTGTTTAAAAAAAATTAAATTTCTGCTTCTTTATCAAATAATTAAAAAATAAATAAATACTAAAATGTCAATTATAATTACAGAAAGTTTATATAAGTTTATATTACAACATAGTATTAGTGGAAAAATTAAAATCAAACATCTTTTACTATTATATTGGTGGCACTGAGCCACACGTATAGGAAGCGTCGCTGCTTGCTTATGGCTAATCATCGCAAGGGATTGTGTGAAACCTTTTCGTATTCATCGAGTAGCTCGGTGGCGTAGTGGATAAGCGCCGCGGCCCGCGATCGTTGTCGTTAAGCAACTTTCTCAAGGATCGGTCACGGGATGGGTGATCAAAAAAAAAAATTGTCTCGAGCTACTCCGTGCTTCGGAAGGCACGTTAAGCCGTTGGTCCCGGCTGCATTTGCAGTCGTTAATACCCTCCAATCCGCATTGGGCCAGCGTGGAGGGCTAGGGCCCATCCTCCTTAACCATCCATAAGGAAGGCCTGAGCCCCTGCAGAGGGGACGTAAAAGGGCTGATAGGGAATCATACATGTACCAACAAACTGTTTTAAATTCAATGCCGATTCTTATCCTATAAAAAATATTATTTTATGTAAATATATTTTATTTTTAACCGACTTCAAAAAAGGAGGTACTCAGTTTGACCTTTTTGTATTTATTTACCCAAAACTATGCTTAAAAAGACTTGGACGTGACGTCATTTATGGCTATTCAAACACACATAAAAAAAAACAAAAATGACTGCAAAAAATCTAATAATTGAGTTAATTATTAGAATTCTTTTACTTTGAACGCGTGTGAATGCATGCTTTTCCTTTATAATAAATGACTTCACGCGCTTCGATCGGTGTTTTATTTTACGTGGGTCACAGACTACAAATATTGAGAATTTAATATTATTTATTTCTTGATTTGAAATATAAGTATTGAAACAAACTTTTTACTAGAAAAATAAAATAAAATGTTACTGGCTGTTATTATTTTTTTTACCGATTTTGAATTTGGCATATTCGCAAATTCATTTGTTTATATTTTCTCGTGATGGTGGGAACGAAACAATTACGTGCAACTGTCATTTCGCTATTGAAGGCGAAAAAAAAAACCGATGAAGATTTTCCGGGAGCTGAAAAGTTTTCTTGTAAGCCGTTACTTCGTATATTACACAATACAGCGGTACAAAGAGGCAAGTTATTTGGAAGATCGCCAAAGGAGTGGTTGGCCACGCTCTGTGAGGACGCTATGTTACACTCAGAAAAAACTCTGCAGACTAATACTGAAATATGATATGATAATATGCCCCGACCTCAATCGAGGAATCACTATTTAATAACAATATTCGACAAATGTTCTTTAATTTTTTAACAAACAGAATTAGTTTTTAACTAATTGCTGTCTGACCCCCTAATGCAATTTCTCTTACAAAAGAATAAAGTTAAGAAAGAAAATAATTATAAAATACCTCTGATGTCATGATTTTATCTTCAATGGTTTCTATTTCTGATTCTGCATTTTTCTCATTTTGTTTGACAGTCCAGCTATCCTCGACTTTTGGTAAACTAGTCTGTAAAAACACATAACTTTTAAATTGCTGTATCTAAATTTTCGTTATTATAATAACAATAATAAATAATTAGAATAAGAGAGTGATCTTGTACTTGGTATAATTTATTATTAGTACAAGAAATAACTCCCAGATAAACTATTAAATAAAAGTAAAAGAATTACATCATGCATCAACACGTTAAGAGCCAAAACATGAATTTATAAAATTTTCTTGAAATGACCAAATATAATGTTATTTCTAAAATTTAAGATTACTATATTTTATAATAGGGATAATCGATAAATATTGCAACCGAGGGTGTTTGTAGAACTTTTACTAAAATGGTAATGGTTTGTGTAATTAAATATACTACTAGTTGCCCAGTGGTCGAAATTCGACCATAATAAATTTCAATCAGAAGTTATTACTGAAATCGAAAAATCTTTTGAAATTCAGTAAAACCACAGTCAGTCAGTCAACATCACAAACATATAAATAGATGTGTATGGTAAACATTTAATACTTGACACTAGCTAAATGCACAAACCGTGCGAAGCCATCATTAAAAAGAAACAAACAAACTCTATGTCAAAAGAAACAATTTGACCACAGAGTACGCGTGCGTGTAGCAAATACTTGTTTGTGTGTGTCAAATGCATAGTACTGTGTGTAATTTTTTTCTCAATTCAGAAACCGGCCGTAAGTTCTTTTTATCAACGTTAATTACCTGTGCTCGATCCACAGAAGCGTTCAGTGCAGATGTGTCTATATCCTGTTGGTGGACTTGTTTCACGTGATCCTTGAGTGCGAACGCTCTAGCGTAACTCGCCCCGCATAATGTACACGAGAACTTTAAATTGTTCTGACGCGCATGAGTTTCTGTATGTACGCGGACTGCATACAGTGACGCAAATGGTCTAAAATTGTAATATATATGAATATAATTAGATAACAATTTTACATCTTTGTCAGTGTTCAAAAGAGGTTGATAATATGAATGCTGATATGTTGTCAAAGTGTGGATAAGGCTGCGGTCCAAGATTCAAAAAATTTCATAAATAAATTTAACAGATAAGTTTAATTGTGTTAAAAAAAATGTTAAAAATATTCATTGATTATGAATTAAATTCCACCTATTAATCTTGTAACATTTTGGGAAATTTTGAAATCTCGGATCTCGTAGTCGTACTCATATTAATTGAACTTTTAAGCTAATCGTTCTTAGACTTACCTATTACAGTGTGTGCAAGAAAAGGGTTTAGTGTGGGAATTTTTATGTCCAGCTAACTGTACAGACGTCTTGAAAGCTTTAGGGCAGTAAGGGCACTTATAACGCCTCACTTCGGAGTGAGTGAGCAAATGATGGTTATATACACTGTGCGCCTTAAACCTGTTAGAAAGAAACAATTTAAATTCACTAGAAATTAGTTTAGTAGTGTAATAATAAGTAATGTCCGGAATTGGTAGATAATTTGTGATATATAGGACATGTTGACACCAGTATTAAAGGTTAAAAAAAAAAACAAAAATCTATGTTAAATATTAGATTTTCCGATTGACTTTTAAAAAACTACGATTACTACTGTTTCCTTTATCAAAAACCTAAATAACTTTAAAATCTCAAATCCTCGTGTCTTATCTATATTAATATATGTGTTTGAGATTATTGACCCGTTATGTATTCTGATTACGAGTATATCAGGTACATTTATGTTAAAATTTCTTATACATTTTGAGTACATACCGTTTCCCACAAAGAGGGCAGGCGTATGGACGCGCGCCGGTGTGCGTGCGCATATGCAGAGTGAGACAGTAAGCAACACGGAAAGACTTTCCACAGATCTCGCACGAGTGAGGCTTCTCGCCTAAACACAAGATCTAGACTAGGAATGTACACACGGCTGCACGGCAGGCTACCACAATATGTCAAATATCCTCAATTGATTTTGAAATCTTCTTACTATGCATTAAGATATATAATCAAGTAGAGAAATTTGACTGTTTTGTATAGCCCGACGTGCCCGATTGTACGTAGAAAGAGAGGGCTAACAAAAATTATTTATGTTAAAGTTAGAAACACCTTTGCTCGCTTTTTACCAGCTTCAAAAAATAAGGTATTGTCAATTAAATTGATGTTTTGTAAGAAATATTAGAACGACATAAAATACGTTGCTCAGATACCAAATTAAATAGCTTAGGAATAGTATTATGGAAATTTTAAACAAGAAAGGTACCATAACATCCAGGCCTCAGACAATATAGAAAAGTGTATTATCGACATTGACTCAACCAGAATTCAAACTAGGGCATTAACTTTCCTTTGGATGTTATTATTTAGGGAGTATATCCCGCTTGGAGTGTATTAACGACTGCAGATGTAGCCGGTACCAATGGCTTAATTTGCGTTCCGTAACTAGGAGAAGCCCAGAATTATAAATTTTAAGGTCCGCATCGCAGATCAAACGCTCTAATCACTGTGCCATCGAACTCCAATCATGTCCCAGCAGGAAGAGAATAAAATTATGAGTTGCTATAAAGTAATAATATTTTACTTATCAATTGTTTTATTTAAAATCACAATGTCGATTCCAATACTTTTACAAGAATGACATCCCGGAAGTATATTGGCACAAAACTGATCAAACGTCAAAGTGACAGTGACAGCTAACTAGCTAGCTAGATAGGGTTGCCCGTAGTGAAATCGATAATAAGTGCCAGTTGTGGTCGATCTTTTTCTCTCTTAATACTAGTAATATAATTATGCTATATACCTGTATGTATTCTCTCGTGTTTGACTTTTTCATGTGGCCTTGCGAACCTTCGATCACAGTACACGCAGCTGTATGGCAGTGATTTATCAGTTTTATTTGCGGGTACCTAAAACAAATTACCATTACAAACTAACACATATATCATCTTATACTCAATTCATTATAGCATTAGACAGAATGAAAATCAGGTTTTTTTTATGGTATACTTTGTGACAAAATGTCAACAATCATGTTACTCTTAAGACTAACGGCTAATTTGCTACATATCCACTTAAATACCAGCTGCTATACTTAACCGTAGTCTTTTAAGCTATATATTAAACAAATTTATGAGTATTTGACTGACTTAAAACATTTAAGAATTATTACAATAAAATGTGTTCATCTTAAAAAACCTAAAGAAGCAGGGTTAGATAGTTTCGGCATGATTCTCATGCCACTATAACTCTACCAAATTTAAAACGTTGCCTTATCCCTTCAAAAGTTTCAGCAGTGCAGCTTTTTAATTTTGTCAGATTATGATGTATTCATAATAGTAAAAATATGTTATCTGGGATTTTCATTCATTGTGAATACTACTGCCTGTCTTGTTGTTTTGTCTTGGCCCGAGTGGTCTACAAAAATTACACTCTAAGCCCCCATGCCTACCCTCAACTATTGACATTTCAGGAAGTTTTTCCAATGTCTTCATCAATAGTCTAACTAATTACACTTGGGAGTAAAAGATGAATTTATAAAATGCTGGCCTCATCTCAACCCCGAGGTATCGTAAAAAATGGAAAATTGCTCAGATCTTTCAGACTACCTAATGTTCAAAATTTTAAAAAATCTAATATATATTTTTTTTAAATATCTTGAAAATAAAATGTTCTGAACTGCTGCTTCTATGACCCTCTTTTTTCTAATGTTATAATGAATGAAGTATAGGTATGTATTAAATCTTCAATATCATAATCAATCATAAGTAGAATTTATCGTCAACTGGTGAAGCTGGAAATTTGCATACATGTATAGCTTAGATAACAATCCATGGTTAGCTAAGTTATATACATCATATTAAATCAGATATAGCGGACGGGTCAATATGGTTATTTTGCGTTATGTGCACAATAATCATAATATGCATATGAAATGAAAAGTTTTGTTAAGAAAATAATAAAATTTCTTAATTTTAAATCCAATATGCGGAATAAGTATTTTTAAACACTATTGCAGAGGAGATTACTTTTATATATTAAAGCTTATCACAATTAGTTTTCTAACAAACGATTCATCATAAAATAATATTATTAATGTATTGAACAACAGGTAGTAAATAAAATATAGATTAAAAAAAATCGAAAAAAAAATTGTATATTTTCTATAATACTTGTACAGAAAAATATATACCTTATCCAAATTGTGGACGCTCATATGCATTTCCAAATATTCGTGAGAATGAAATTTCTTATTGCATATACCACAGTTCATACGGTCGTCTGTCTTGTGCGAGTTCTGGTGTATAGTGCGGTAGTCTACAGGTATCATTTTGAAACAAACGTTACATCTATACCGGCCGGAGCTGCCCTCTGTGCCTTCACTAGTGTCTACTGGCGGATCTATAGGTCGTGATCTGAAATATAATTAAAAAATATTATCAATATTTTAATTGTTTGAATGGTAAATGGTTGGCATTTCAGCCGATACGATACCGATACGGACGATGAATATTAACATCGCCGATTAATCGATATCGGATTTATCTGGATGCATTCCTAACTAGTAGTATCTTATTACCACTTCAATTTTATTTATATAGTCTATAAGTCTTACTCGTCATTATATTCATTGTATGAAGGTTCACATTAAAGCAGTTTACATACTTGATAGGATCGTGCATCCTTTTGTGTAATTTCAGCGATTTGTTTGTCTGGAACATCGTATTACATATCTCACATTCAAAGTTTTCCGCTGGTGCTGCTATAATACCTTCTAACAAAACGTAAATAGTCAGTTATGGTAAAAACAATTTTTAAAAGAAGTTTAATTTAATGTCATTTTCTCACCTGTTTTAACTTTATGTACTTTCATGTGAGCACAAAGTGATTTAGAGTTCTCATAAGCGACGGGACAATGAGGACAAGGGTATTTAACTGCGGAATATAAGAAGGAACATTATAAACAAAACAATACAGGGTTATGAACACCAACAACCTCGCAGGACAAGAAAACTAAAATTATAACTAATATTGCTCGTTCTTTGACTATTGATAATTTGCTACATTTCACTTTCATAAAAAAGAAATAGTTTGATTAAAAAATACCACTGTAAGTAATACATAAATTTCAATGGGATATTTTTTTTACCCCGGGAAAATACGTTACGCTCTAACCATGCCTGATGACCACTGAGCATTTTTAAAGGACGAATCCTATTTACTAAAAGGATTGGATATGCCTTCAGTTGGGAATGTTACACGGAAACCTGAGTCTAGTCACCGCGTCGGGGGGGCCCACCTCAGGCGGAAAAATAGCATAACTTAAGAATATATTTTAAACCATTATATCAAAATTTGAATTATTTAAGAACTGTGAATAGCTTATAAAAGTATTCTTCGTTTATTTGTAAAATTATTTGCTTAAGTAATTATTTTTACTCTACCATAGATACGGATGTCAGAGCACAAAGTCGGGTGTGCCAATAGAAAAATATTGAAAAATAATTTTTATATAAAATATTAAGTTTTGTTTTAGCTTGTATCTCTAATGTGATTGATTATGACGTTAGCTATCTACGAAATAGTTAGTGTTTTGGTGTGCATAAATAAATTCGCTACGAAATAGCTAGTGTTTTGGTGTGCATAAATTACCCTGTATATTAATATTATTTTAACGTAGAAAAATGCGATATGTATTATGAATTTCGAATGTTGGTCGAGAACTTCCCCTGAATAACAAAAGGCGCAAATTGTAATCCTGCCTGATGCCAAAAAGTATATGTGTATAGTATAGTATCAGGAGTACTTATTAGAAACAGCAGTCATAACTTCCACTTCATCTTAATTTACTGAGTTCAACATTTTAAGGTCTAAATTAGAATAAATTGCATTAAAAATCGACTAGCCAAATCTTGAATCTAACTCAAGATCTTTCATAAAACAGGAAACTGCCAGAATAAATCAATGCCTTTTAAAATATAAAAATTTCAATATTTCATTTCAGTCGAAAATTATGATCTAGTTTTGAGAAACTAAATTAGGCTTCTTACAAGTTTTACATGGCTGATTTTTGAAGTCATCTAAATTGCTAACATATATGTTACACGACATACAAAAATATGTTTTTACACTTTCTCCATACATCATTACTTCTTTAACTATTACTTTGTGATATGGACCACCTTTCTCTGAAACAATACGAAGCAAGATAGTTCACATCATATTAAAAAAGGCGACTAAAATATATCATATAATTATAATTTTATATCAGTATATCAGCAATGGCAATAAATGTCAATCAGTGCAAATGCTTACCCTGCTGATTAATAGTTTTCACTACACTATCACAAAACTTGTCGATCTGTACATAGCGTTTACCTTGCTTCCCATTCTTTTCAATATCATCATTTTTTGTTGATGTAATGTTATTGTCTGTATAATAACAGAAAAAAAAACTTTTTTAATAATTAAAATAAAACATGTATCTACATTACCCTGATTTAAAAATCGAGGGGTAGGATTGAAAGATACTATGTTATGATGATATATTGGACCGACTTAAAAGATAATAACTTCCTAGCAGTTAGATTTAAAGTGCCAATCCATTAAAGTGATGAAGAATCATCAGAGCTCCATTATTTCTATGATTCGTCTTTGTTTTTAGGTAAACCCAGATAAAATATACTAACCTCTTAATTTAGATACTGACCTAAAGGATCACTGACCACATCTGCATCAACAATGTCACCATTGTCAGTGATTACTCGTTTAGGAGTTTCTTGTTTCTCTGCAACGGAATCTTCTGCTTCAAAAGTGTCGTACTCTATGGGGATTTCATCATTCTCTAAAGGTTCCTGCAACACATTTCCTTTAGAAATTTCAGGAAATTGTCCCTTAGCAAATAAATATGTTATTTGTTATTTCTTAAGGGAATATTTCCTGAAACCTACACCATCAGTTCTGTATATATATCTTATAGTGTTAACTATAAGATATAGTATATATAGTGTTAACTATAAGATAAGAATCAAGATTATAATAGCTATAGTTTTATAATCATTAAGTTAAAACTCTAACAAATTGAGTGAGCCAAAATTCCAATGATTACAAACAAATCTATGAAATTATTATAACAAAATCCTATTATGTTTGTTATAAAACAATATTAACCTCTACAACAACTTCCTGATCATTGTGGTAGTTCTGTATGTGTTCAAGTACAGATGAAAATGAAACCCCACAAGTATTACAACTGTAAAGCTCTTCATTACTGTCTTCAGTTTCAATTTCTGATGGAGCTATAACAGTCTCAGCAGCAGATTCTAATTTCATATCTGGAAAACAGGAAGTAAGCCTATGACAGCACCTTATTCAACTATGCATATATATGAAATGATTTTTTCCATATTCAAAATCATATAAGCAGTAAATTTGGACTGCTTTCAGAAATGGTTCAGGAAGTGTTGACTGACAACAATGAGGAAAACAGCAATCCATAAGAGAATATTTGCGTAAGCGATTTTATTACATAATTTGTAAATACTGCAATAATAAAAAATATATATCAACATCTGCAAACTAGGCATCCATTAATAGTAGGGGAGCCCAAGCGGGGATTTCGGGATTTACTAAAGCGCGGCAGATTAATATACAGGGGGATACCTTGTACCCAGTTAAGTATGTACCTGGACCAAGTATGAGCCCTATAAAAATGGCCGCCTGGCAAGGACGAAGGATCAGATTAGTAAAAAAAAATTGATCATCTGAAAATCTCGAGCGCGTCAGATTAAGGTAAGGTGAGCTAGTTACATGCTAAAATGTGTACATACCTCTAATCTAACAATTTGAGAGTGACATAAAGAAGGGGGAAGGCTACAAAGTTGTAAAAAAAAAAGTTACTTTGACATTCTCGAGCGTGGCTATTTTTTTTTTATTTTGAAGGGAATCATTCAAGGATTACGAAAAATATATAATCTGACGATTGTCACAAGCCGAAGTAATAAAAATTCATCGATAAGATTTAATGCGTTTAAGCTACGTGATACCTATATTTCCTTCTCCCCATCACTATTTCTCTCTCTTTTTCTGTCTATTTCTCTCTCATTCCGTCCCCACTCTGGTTTCGGTTGCCATGACGCCATGACAGCTGAAGACACAGACTCGTTCGTGGCGTGATATTGTTTACATCGTAACTCCAACGTTTTTGCTTATTTTGTTATTTTAATGTAAATTTTGTGAATTAAACTTTTTACATATTTACTAAGAGAAGAAGAGGAAGATGATTCTAGCAATGAAGATGATAATTAATAAAAAATACTGTAAAAATTAAATTTTAAAATCTTATAAATATAAGTATTTTACATAAAAAAACATACACTTTTTATTTGCATGCTAACTCCAGTGCTTTTCTATTTAATTAAGCTCAATGATTTGAAAAAATTAAAAACAAATTTTTTTAGTGTCAGTTTAAGTAAATCCCTTCAGATAATCGTCAGATTATGCGATATCACGGCAGGGGCATAAAGATGAACCATATATATCTTAATCTGATGCGCTCGAGTATGTCCATACAACAGTTTTTTTTTACATTTTTAAAAATCTATAGCCGCTTCCCCCACTGATGAAAAGGTATATATTATATGAAATTTCTTTTTTGTTATCATCTAAGCTTCACAACCCAATAGGTCTCTATGACGCTCGAGTAAATACCGATTTAGCATCGTGGGCTCCCCTTCTATAAGTACATAGGGGCCAAGTGCATATTTCATTATGCCTTTGAGTTAATGCAGAACAAAGGAAAATTATGCATATTAATGCTGGAAAGCAAACACGTAGTAACTTGCAAAACCAAAATTGTTCTTCAGAGCAGAAAAGCTTTTATTTTTTTCAATAAATAATTCCTATAAGCGTCCATGGTAACAAAAAAGGTGTTCCTTAGTCAATTTATACAGAAATAAGACATATTTTTTTGGAAAAAATTTCCACTTTAAATATCTATTTTAGTTTTGCAGGTTACTACATGTTTGCTTTCCAGCATCAATATATAGTATATTGTGCATTACTATGCTTAAAATAATTATCAGCTTTATAAATAGCCTTATATGATGTTTTAACCGAATTTTTATAACTCACCACTTATTGCTTGCAAAGATATAGTGCCGTCACTGTTTTGTCTAGTCATCACTGCATTTTCTAAATTTATATCACCACCTCCAGTGGACATGATCACATATTGCTCTATTCCTCTATTACCGCTTACCAGTTTAAGCTCTTGTGTAGTCACACATTTTGTTTTATCTTTATCAAGTATCTCTAAATAAACACTGCCATCGCTAAGTAAAGTGTTTGCTGTTTCATCAGTAATTTCATTGGAAGTGGGAGAGTTATTACTTTCTGAAATATCTGTTGTCTGTAAATTACCTGAAATGATGTAATATTAATATTATATCATTCCTTTAAAAATTATTGTGATATTCTTAATAAAAAATTGTTAAATAAAGCTACTTTGTCTGAGGCACTTTCTGGCAATCCAGATGACTGAAGTCACCCGTATTGCAAAAGGTCATGGGTTCAAGTACCATCTAAGAGACCCAAGGACAAAGTGGACTTTTGAACCATTTTTCATTAAGAAATATCATTGTCAATGCAAAATTGATCAAATATAATAATTGTTGTGATTTGTAAAATATCACAGAATAGTGCTTTTCTAATGGTGTGTACAACACTTATAAACAATATATATAACATTTATGAGTTCAAGTTAGAAATTTTACATCAGTATAATACTGCTTTACTATTCTGTAATAAATTCAGCCTTAGCAGCATTAGAGACAGCACTGTTTGCGCATTAGAGCTTTGTGCTCAATGTTGAGTTCAATTGAGATTTTTTTTTTGCAGAGTAAATGTTATGTAAATTGTTAATACATCTTTTGTAGGTTCTAATTTAATAGAAAAAATAAGACATTACATAATTCTGTAAAGTTACACTGATGCAGATAGCATACATTCGCTTACCAATCATATTAAACACTCGGATTTCTAAAACATTAGTGATGCCGTCTTACAACAGTAAAATTAGTAAAAAATTCCTTACCATTCTCTTCATAAGTTTTTAATAAAGAGCATGTATTTTCAATCTGTGGATTGTTATCATCAATTACTTGTAAATTTTCTATAAGACTATCATCAGGTTGACATTCATCAAGAGTTAAATGTTCTATAAGATGTGCCAGTGATGACCATTTATTATTGCATACAGGACAAGACAAATTAGCTAATATATTTGTTAAATGTTCAGCAAATGCCGATTTAGATTCAAAAGTTTTCTCACAACACAGGCAACATTTCAAAAATAAGTGTTTCATTATTGATGTTTAAAGCATTAACAGACTCAGTTTCTTTTTCATCAATTGTACGAAGCGTACGAAACAATGATAAACTATATAAAATGGGTATGCATATTTATATCAGATTTTAATTTTGGCTTTTGCATCAAAACATTAAACGTTACATCCTTCTCGGCATAGCTAAACTCTGAACACAAATTGATTTATGTACTGAGGAACTTCACTCTAATTTGCTAATAAACGTGAAGAAAGCACCAAAACAGAATATATCGCTGAGTAGTTCTTGTCTTGCTCGTAAAACGTCACAAACACTGTCAGATTGACATCTGTCAATTGTTTTTTTTTTAGTCAGTAAGGCAACGGACGGTATCTAACACCAACAGCTAATTCTTCAGTAGTATATCTTATATATTCACAAACGTTATTGTTGGTGGTTAGATAGTCAAAGATTATGGTTTTTATAACATGGTTTATAAGATTTGTGTTGGAGTTTTTGATAGTAGAGATGATGAAAAACTCCACAGGAAAGTGATCCGTTTGCATTCCCGCGTTTTTGGTTTGGGAGTAAATTAAAATAGTATTTCATAAAATTTTAAATAAATTAGTTCTAAGATACTTTGTTTCACAAAATAAAAAACATTGTTACAAACCGAAACTTATTCTAATAGCGAAAAAACTCACGTTAAAGGTAAATGAACCTCATGTGATTTTTTGGCATATAATAATACTTATATAAAACCAGACTGTATGAGCTAAATCCCTTTGATTTTAATGAATTAAAATAAAGTTCTTTATAATAAATATGGTGCGGTGTCGTCGTGGTGTTTTTAAGTGTTTTGTGTTGTAATGTGCGTTGTGTAAAATTATCAAAAAACTTTAAGAATCAAGCGGTTTGGGTAATATTTTCATAAATTGAGACCCAAAGTTGACTTTATTGCCTTCTACAGACGTTTCCAGGTTTGTGTAGCAATGAATTGACAGATATGTCATTGGATTGAATTATTACTTGTTTTTTACGCGGGTAATTTCGATTAATCAAAATGCTGGGAAAGAGAATGCATCACAATAATAAAGGAAGACTAGCAAGCAAAGGCCATGACAATGGTAAACCATCCAGTCCTGGTATATCACCGTATAATAAACCTGCTAAAATACCAGGCGCTGTTTCCGCAGGGAAAACTAAAGTTGATTTGTGTCCTATACCATACATCAAAATACAAGACAATGCCGTGCATCTCCCACGATTTACTGCCATAGCCGCTAGGTCTGCCGATGAACAGATAGGAATGGATGAACTTGACTCTTTACAACTGGAATTGGAGTCGCTTCTCTGTAACACTGCTCTCCGCATTCGATATTTCCAATCAGAAATAGAAAGTATTGATACCAATGAATCAAAACGTGAAAAGAAAGGAAAAGCCGCAGGCAAACAACTACAGTATCCTGTCAAAAGGAAATTTATGGAAGATAAATCAGTGAAAACCAAAGATTACACTAAATTATCAAATCAACCGAAGGTGCCTAAATTTAAAAATTTTCCCAATGCTTCTGGGACTCACAGTTACTCTAATGATCCTAACATGAACTCTGATAATTCTGTGAAACTAGAAATGTCTCAATTTTCACTACCAAAGAATAATATACCTTATAAATTTTGGAATTCAGTTGAACCCTATTGTGCTCCTATTACCTTAGATGATATAAAGTTTCTGGAATCTTTACTGGCTCAAAGCAGTAACACAACACTTCCACCTATACCACCACTTGGAAGGCACTATTCTGAGGTATGGGCTGATGAACATTTGGCAGAAGATCAGAATGCTTCTAATCCCAATAGACATAAATCAGGCATGTCTCCTGAAGCATCTAGCTTAAGAAAAAAGTTAGAAAAAGCAAATGAAAATAATATGATAACTGGACCGTTAACACAGAGACTTGTATCAGCATTAATGGAAGAAAATGTCATGCCTTATGAAGTACCTGATGTTAAAGTTAAACAAATAACAAACACAAAAAATAGCTATAAAAATTCACTGACATTAGAAAAATGTCTGCGGAAGGAATTAGTGGAACAAGGCATTTTGGATCCTGAAGATCTGCCACCTCTGACAAATCCTGCTGATGATGAGATATTAGCAGAAATTAAGAAATGTCAAACTGAACTTGCTGCTGTACGAAAAGATAATTGCCGCAATCTAAAAAGTCTTATAGGCTTTTGTAAACAAGAAATGATTAGATTGAACCTAAAGAAACAGTTAGATCAAGTGGATATGGAATGTGTTGATATATACAAAAAGATGGTGGCGGCAAAGCAGAAGAAAAGACCAATTACAAAAAAAGAAAAAGATGATGCTTGGAGAGCTATAAATGAGCAAATAAGGCTCAATAAAGAGATTAATGCCTTACCACTGACAGGTCCAAATTCAAGCTAAATTAAGACAGGGAAATGAAGAGAAAGCAAGATATTGGACCGAATATGTTATTGAAAACAATGTTTTTACTCAGCTAGTGGATGTCATTTACCAAACAATAAATATGATATGAGAGTTATTGAGTTATTATTTGATTATATAGAGTTACAGATTTATATTATGTTTGTAACATCTGTAGGTAATGCTTTTGTTCTCTCATTTGAGCGAGGGTCAGTAGAGATGTACCTCTTATCATTGCCTCTGTCATATTTTTTGTAATAAGTTTTATATAAAGAGAAAATATTTTTAATTGAAATTTATCTTTTTATTTTTAATATTAAGCTTTCAAATAAAGTTCCTACTGAGGCTTCATTGCAATTAAAGTAGGCATGTACAATTGTAGGAATTAATGGTGTGCGCAATCGATTACCATTAATCGATTAATCGACTTTTCAAATAATCGGTTGCTATCGATTATGATTTCATAATCTACGATTAACCATCGATTATTTCTTAAAATGTTAGCAATAGGAATAGTTTAAAACATTAGTATAGTACCTACTAACTTTATTTCGATGGCTTAGCTACGCATAGCGGATCGCGAGTGTGAATATTATGAGTAAATATTCTATTACTTATTATGGAAACGCTGGAATACTTTTTATACCAAAATAATATTTTTGACATTTAGACCAATATTGACGTGACTTTCACTGGCAGATTGCTTATGTAATAAGGAATTACTAAGGCTACTTTCCACGCGGACGAAATAGCAGATACAGCTAGATTAATTTTATACATTTTGCATGCACAATGCTGGTATAGTAAACATTGTCTTAAAATTGATTTTTAACTATTTTTAATTAACTTGGATAGCTTTAAAATACGGTGGAATTAACATGAAATCACTAATAAACTTTTGGGGTAAAAATATTTAATAACCGTTGTCATGAATCGATTATTAATCGATTACGCGTTATACTATAATCGATTAATAGATGGAATCAAATCGGCACATCCTTAAACTAAAATTTGAAAACTTTAAATTTAGATATGAATTAATTACGAAAAAGTACAAATAGAATATGAGTCGTTTACTGAGTTTTGAAAACTAATATACTTTTAAACATCGAAGAAAACCGGAAGGGTTGTCATGGAAAAATCAAAACGTATCGTGGCGACATCTAGTTTGAGTTCGGGTTGGTTCTAATGTTTTTTTTTAAACACTTCCTCATTGAAATAAAAAATCATAATTAGATATCTTGTCTGTTATGGATTTCCTATTGTCATTCTCCGTTATTATTATTTATTATTCATTATTATGTTGAACGGGTTAAGGTGAAAAACGCAATTGTAATACCTTATATCGAACGATTTTCCGAAAACATTCTCAGTTGAACTCTAAAAACTTATTTATAGTGACATCTAGACTAGCCCGATGCAAATATAGTTAAAATTGTAATGCCATCGCCAGTAGCTGGCATTACTTTTTTAACAATACATACACGCTTTTTAATTTTTTTACACCATACCCAACCCAACATTTTATATAGGTTCTTACTTATGCGCCAAATCATCTGGCAGTCAAAGGGGGTGTATGGGTGTATGTCAAGGGTTGGGTTGTGCTCTTTGATTTCGCGACAGTTGCGACAAGTGACAGTTGAGAAGCGTTATTTTGAACTAACCGTTGATTTTTGTTTAAGTTTAATATATTTATAGCTGAACGTTTAATGAAAATGGATAATCCTTTGACTCCTAATAAAATTCAACGTCTTATTCACTTAGCAGAAGATAAATCCTTCAATTTGCCACGGCGAATGCTTTTAAATGATGAAGATTTAAAAAGGTGAGGATGTATAAAATTACTATTCGAGTTATCGTCAGTAAGGTTGCTTAAAGTAAACAGATGCCTTTTATTTTTTACTTGTACTGGTGTTGTGAATAAATGCTATAAATATTATTTTATGAAAAATTGTATATTCAGAACTGTTATACAGGGTACATAAATGTAACTTTATTTATTTTCCATGTTTCACAGACTCACTGTGGTAAATAAGTCGAGTTCAAACACAAATTATGAATTGTCATCTGGTATCCTAGATTTGGAGAGAGTTCAAGGTAATATTAACTGAAATGGTTTGTTAGGCTAAGATAAATTTATGACTATGACTCCATTTTCATTATATTATTCTACATGGTCATTTTAAATTGCTATCGTAATAATCTATTAAGAGAGGCTAGAACATTTCACCATTACATAAAAGCCAGACTCAATACAATGTCACTCTGAAAAACAATAATTTGGACATTCTAAATTTAATTCATTTTACAGTACTTGTTGTATTGTACAGTAATTGTTGTTATCATTATTGAGGTAAAACTCATAGCTACACTTTTCTAAGAAGCAGGATATATATCCAAATATTCATAAAATTTTTATTACAAACATAACAAGATAGTGCAAGTTGTATTTTAAAATGTGGCAAACCAAGATTTAAAATGACATTGCTTAAATGGCCAAATTAATTCATAAATAATTATAGATCATCATCATCATCATCATCATCATCAGCCGGAAGACGTCCACTGCTGAACATAGGCCTCCCCCTTTGAACGCCACTTAAATACTTATTTATTGACCCTAAAACTTAAAAAAAACTCACATAACAGAAATGGAGAAAAAAATAATATAAATAACAGACATTATAGTCAATTAGGACATAATGAGTCATGAAATAAGTCACAAAAATAAGTATTTTTTAAACAACTACTCTAATAATAAAAACATTGATATCCTGCAGATAATTATTGATATAGTGTAAAAAAATCAGATATTAAACAGATTTATTAAGTCTAATATATAAAATTCTCATTTCACTATTTTAGCTATCATAATCCTCTGAAATTAAGTGACCAATTTTGATGGAATTTGTATGGTATGTCTGAGAATAGGTTGTTATCTTTTTTTATACCCCTAAGTGATAAGGGTGGTCCACTCCAAATTCATAAGACAAAACATTAGTCGGTTCAGCTATATCTTACTATAAAATTTATAATATATATATATATATTATATAGTAAGAATAGCCTGCACACAGCAGTTGTATGATAAGAGCTTTTAAAAGTGGCCAAAGAGGTGGCCACTTAGCCATCTTGCTATGTCCATGTGTATGATGATATTAGACTAATATACCATGTATGGAGTATACTAATTTTCTTTTGTAACAAATTAATTTTTATAATCTATTTTGTAGGTTTTGGGGACTCTGTGATTGGAAATATCTCTCTGAGCAAATCTGTAAGTGTTTGAAGTACTGTTCATTATCTCAAGGATGTAATGGTTTCCAGAATTTTCAATAAATACTAACTTTAATATTTTGTTTTCGTTTTAAGACGGCCTTCAATCCTGGAGAAATGACAGGGCGTTCCACAGGCACTGAAGATGTGAACACAAAGTCTATGGTACATGGGGTCACAAGAACATTTGAAGAATTTGGTCGTCATTCTTTGGTATTAGACTCTCTGACTAGTCAAATGGACAAACAAACTAACGAAATTGAAGATATAATGAGGCATTCTATTGCCACTAACTACTCATTTAATACAAAGGCAAGCATTTTAATAACACTTGTGGAAATAACTTACATGAACAATAACATATAACTCATTAAATAACTTTTTATAAATCCACAGAGAGACTTGACTGCAGATGAGAAATCATTCATGATGAGGGAAGCGCCTTTGCCAGTACAACCTGGCACACAAACTAACTTTGCTGAAAGTATAACGTAAGATTAATTATAGTTTTAATCGGGATCTATTAGCCAGTATTGAAAAAAAAAAAAATAAAAATGCATTAAATTTATATTTCAGATTGAATAATTCAAATATGTCTATGGGAACCTATTTTAAAAACAGATGTCCAGAATTTGGAAAAATTTTAGAGAAAACAGATAGCCCTGATAGATCTCTAAGACCAAGTATTAGTGAAGGTAGCAAGCAGCATTAGTTTTTAAGTGCATTTATATCACCTGTCTAATATAGCATAACAATTAATATATTTTGTTATTAATATTGTAGTATCAACAAATGCTATGGAATATGCTGATAAAGAGGCTAATGTATTCAAAATTGACCATTCCCTGGATAGTGTACCTGTGAAGCAGCCTCGCAATACTATTGAAAAGATACCAGAGAACCGCATTGTTAACAATTTGAGTGAGACATTTGAAAAACAGAATAATTTTAACTTAACACAAGGTAAACAGGATGTCCTTACTAGCAAATTAAATGTCAAGATGGAAAATCCAAAGAAATACCCTCAAGGATCATTTGCAACTGTGCCACATTCAGTAAATATGTCAAATCAAAAACATTTTGTTAGTTCTGTTGCCAAACCAACTGATGTATTATTAAGAAACTTACAGTCTTCTCTCAGATTGATGACAGACGACACAGAAGGCTCTGTGGAAAACTCATTTAGCATTTCAAAAATTGCAGATTATCTTGGTGAGTATGATAAATTTTACATATTTTACTTGTTGAAAAAACTGTTTCACAATAAAATTCTAAAATTACAGGGAAGCAGTCCAATGTAAGCGTATCGGACATGATTCAGATGAAAAAGAGCACCAAGAAACAACCACTAACTGAATTACAAATGAACACACAGGACAGATTAATAAATCATAATATCCAAGTAACAAACTTAAAGGATAGTAAACATACTGCAACTGCTAGTTCAGCTGGTAGTATTAATACTGTTATATCTGTTGATAAATTGAAGATTAGTAATGAGAATTCTGAGGACATACCTGCAGTTGTTGTTACACAACACTCGGTTTGTGGTAATGATGAAGTCAGCCATGATTTGGAAGATTTTAAATCAAATCGTCGCACTACTAGGTCAAAGTCGCCGTCTAGCAAGAGCCAGTCAACGCTAAGTACAGTTCAAGAAAACTTTCCCAATTTCAAATCTGAGAACAGCTCTTTGCAATCGAGTAGAGGTAAGGACAATCTAGATCTTTTGATAATTGATGGGTGAACTTTCTTATTTATTATTACAATTATGGTGATATTAAGTTGCCCATTCGAAACTGTACAGTAGAACTCCAATTATCCGAACTCCGACTATCCGAATCACAAAAAATTGTCCAAAAAAAGTCTAAGTGCGCTATTATTCTCCCTCCCGCGAAGCCAGTGTTTGCGCGTCAAGTCTTGACTTGACTTGTCTTAACTTGCCGTTGTGCCTACACTGACTTCCCCCGCGTGTGTAGGCACAACGGCAAGTTAAGACAAGTTCCGGCGCATTGCAGTCACGGCGCACCTGTCATTGTTTGATTAGCCAGTGTGCTATTGACCTTGCTCGAGGACGCTACTCTTTCGCTACGGCTTACTTTTGTTTGTGCGTGTACAATACTGTATTGTTTTTATACCATGGCTTCGAAAAGAAAACGTGTTGTGCTATCGTTAGCGGACAAACTGAAAATTATAGAGCAACTTGATAAAGGTGTAACGGGTAAGAAGTTGTCTGAGATTTATGGTGTTGGACAAGCAACAATTTCTGACATTAAAAACAGTAAGTCAACACTTTTAAACTTTGTTTCGGTGCTTGAAAATGAAGATGGAAGTTCCTCCAGGAAAACAATGAAGACAGCAACCAACAAAAATTTGGAAGATGCCGTGTTTAAATGGTTTTTGCAGCAACGTTCTATGGGAAATCCGATTTCAGGTCCAATCCTTTGTGAAAAAGCCAAAATCTTTGCAGAAAAGCTTGGTTATTCATCTTTTAAGGCTAGTAACGGCTGGCTAAGGAATTTTAAATTCAGGCATGGTGTACGCGAGTTAGATTTGGCTGGTGAGAAGCTTTCAGCAGACTCTGCAGCTGCTGAAAATTTTATTGAAAAATTTAAAACTGCATCAGAATCTTATGATCCGGAGTTTGTTTATAATGCCGATGAAACTGGCCTTGTTTGGAAAGCATTACCAAAAACCACTTTGGCTTCTAAAAGGGAATCTAGTGCCCCTGGACATAAGGTCAGTAAAGAACGTGTTACAGTGCTTAACTGTGCCAACTCCACTGGAAATCATAAACTGCCACTTCTTTTGATAGGAAAATCAAGAAATCCAAGAGCATTTAAAAACGTAAAAAAACTTCCACTCTTCTACAAAAGTCAACCCAAGGCCTGGATGACTGCAGCTTTGTTTACCGAATGGTATGATGAAGTGTTTATTCCTGAAGTGAAAAAGCACCAAAAATCGGTGGGAAAAGAAGGCAGTAAGTTGCTTTTAATTGTTGATAACGCACCCACTCATCCTACAGCAGAACTGTTGGAAAGAGAGAATGGGCAGTTCAAAACGACGTTTTTGCCTCCCAATGTTACAAGTTTGCTGCAACCCATGGACCAGTCTGTTATTGAAACAATGAAGCGCCATTACAGAAGGCAACTGCTGAGAAAACTGCTGAACGAAGGTGCTGAAGATGAAGAATTGGTTTTGGCAAATCATAGCAAAATAAATTTAAAGGACTGCTGTTACATGGTAGCGGAAGCTTGGAGTTTGGTTACGGCAGTGACGCTAAGACGTGCGTGGAATAAACTGAAAGGCCTACCGTCTGAGAAGAACAAAAAAAAAGAATCTGAAGAAAATGAGAAACAAGAATATGGAGAGGATGATGATGATAAAGATGCGTTGTCACTAGAGGAAATTAGAAAAATGATTGTAAAAATTCCTGGTTGTACAGAAGTAAGTGCTGAAGATGTAGGAGAGTGGATGGCTTGTGACACGTCTGACCCTGGTTTTCAAATTCTCAATGACGATGAAATTGTTGTAAGTGTGAGAGAAGATGTTGAAGTGGAAGTGGAAGAAGAACTTTCTGCTGATGTTGAAGTAGACGCTGGACCATCAGCTAGTGAAGCATTTGCCGGCCTCGAGACTGCTTTGAAGTGGATGGAGCGTCAGCCCGAGTGTGACCACTTGCAACTGCTCACCGTCAAGCGAATGCGTGACCTGGCTGCCCGAAAACGGTTGAAGACCGCAAAACAGCTTACATTGACAGAGATGTTTAAAAAACAATGATTTTTATTTCTAAACTTGTACATAAGTACACTTTATTTATATTTAAAACATGTGAAAATTTCATGTTTCTTTCATTTAATTCAATAAAAAAAATAGTGCAATATCAAAACGTAGCTTTTATTCTCTCCAATGGCAATTTTTTTTTAAAAAATCCGATTATCCGAATATTTGATTATCCGAATGGGTCCCGGTCCGCATTAATTCGGATAATTGGAGTTCTACTGTATATTATTTTAAGTGATACTTTGCTTGCTTATCTATATTTTATAACTGTATAGTAATGTGTATTTCTAATTTGTATATAAATACCGTCTTATATTTTTTATATTATATCTACATCAAGATAGTAAAAATACTTAAAATAAAAAAGGTGAAATTAAACCATTGTTGGTTAATTGGTTTCTTGAGACATGCCCACGTGTAAATGTCTTGAGTAAATTCAAAGTTGCGATTTCAGGCGAAGCTAGCGCGTCAAATGCAGCCTCACCAAATATAGAGTATAAAGAGTTAGATAAATCTGTAGATTGGCACGAAGTTTTACTCCAGAAGCGTTTGAAACATGAAGGCTTTAATAGAGGTTTGTGGGGCAGACTTAAATTCTAACAATGGGGCATCTAACAATTATTAACATGCTTATCACATTTTTATTTAAAACATACTGACTCTCTAATTTCTATAGATTTTCATATTATTTAATTAATATTATTTTCGCAAAATTGTAGTGTGGAGGTACTATAGTTTTTATGATGTTTGTCTCATTCATTTTGGTTATGTGGATGAAGTATCCAACACACTTGATTAAAAATTGGACAAACAAGAACTGTACCTATGAAAGGCATTCTTTTTAACCTTTTTTATTTAATATAGAATCTAATAGTCTAACCGAAAACTGGCTTTTATATAAATGCAACTTATTAAAAAAATTGTCTAATATTAGCTTTATAAGTTCAATATCCAGGTCTTTAAGCAGTTTGTAGTATAGACGGAAATATATACCGCAGCATACCAAATGCTATCTAAACCAGTTTCACCTGGCGATTTCTAGCCCGGAGTTGTCTCTATTTAACTGCAGAATTTGCCCAAGATGTACTCCTGAACAACTTGGAGTGATACACCATCAATAAAAACAGGTTCTGACTGACCTTTTCTAAATGAGCCCGAAACTAACACATCTCGCGGCAAATGTTGAGACTGCAATTTTTTTTCCGATGCTACCACGATTCCAAAATTGAGAACAGTTAGTAAAATATTAATATCTCAGTTAATGCAGATATTCGGTCTTTAACATTAATACCAAGTCATTTTGAATCACGGTTCTGTCTTAAGAGCCGGCGAGTATGTATAAAAATGGATGAGGCGAAAGATATACATACGTAAGGATCGTGCTTTATGGCGCTCGGTCTTCTCTACTTACCAAGGAATACGGCGTGAAGAAATAGATACATTTCCTTTTTATATATTAATTACGTACGGAAGGATGCATAACGTACTATTCATGTGGCTATTCCTGATGAACGTACTATTCCTGATGGCTGGGTGTGTGTGGAAATCTCCCACATAGATTGGAAGCCTACCTACTTCAGAAATTGTCAATAAACGAAAGTCTATCCCCTCAGTATATTACATATTTTTTTATAGGACATAGTAAACATTCTGAAGTCTACGATAAAAAGAAAAGAACGTCCGACACCACCCGTGGACATTCGCCCCCCTTTCTAAAGGGAAAGCTAAGGTGGTTTTCGAAAAAGAGACATTTACAAAAAGCTATGGCTCAAATAAACACATCCAAACCCCAAACCGCAACAGCCGATAGAGCAAACCTAACAAAACCTAAAGATACCTAAATCTCAGAATACTTATGTATTTCCAAGTACTTACATACCATCGGAAGAGCTGGTCGACTATATCTTTGCCATTAACCACCTATTAAATAGGGCACACTTAAAAAGAAAGACATGCAATAACGGTTTACAAGTGAAAACAGGAGCGAAACCCTCTATGATGCGATGTTAGAGGTGTCTCTTTAAGCCTGGACCCTTTCGTTAGTTGCCAGAATAAGACTTGGATACTCCAGCATCCAGCAGAACAAGGAATTGCAAACAGTGCGCCCATTTGAGCATATGTATATGTTTGTCTCATTCATTTTGGTTATGTGGATGAAGTATCCAACACACTTGATTAAAAATTGGACAAACAAGAACTGTACCTATGAAAGGCATTCTTTTTAACCTTTTTTATTTAATATAGAATCTAATAGTCTAACCGAAAACTGGCTTTTATATAAAAGCAACTTATTAAAAAAATTGTCTAATATTAGCTTTATAAGTTCAATATCCAGGTCTTTAAGCAGTTTGTAGTATAGACGGAAATATATACCGCAGCATACCAAATGCTATCTAAACCAGTTTCACCTGGCGATTTCTAGCCCGGAGTTGTCTCTATTTAACTGCAGAATTTGCCCAAGATGTACTCCTGAACAACTTGGAGTGATACACCATCAATAAAAACAGGTTCTGACTGACCTTTTCTAAATGAGCCCGAAACTAACACATCTCGCGGCAAATGTTGAGACTGCAATTTTTTTTCCGATGCTACCACGATTCCAAAATTGAGAACAGTCAGTAAAATATTAATATCTCAGTTAATGCAGATATTCGGTCTTTAACATTAATACCAAGTCATTTTGAATCACGGTTCTGTCTTAAGAGCCGGCGAGTATGTATAAAAATGGATGAGGCGAAAGATATACATACGTAAGGATCGTGCTTTATGGCGCTCGGTCTTCTCTACTTACCAAGGAATACGGCGTGAAGAAATAGATACATTTCCTTTTTATATATTAATTACGTACGGAAGGATGCATAACGTACTATTCATGTGGCTATTCCTGATGAACGTACTATTCCTGATGGCTGGGTGTGTGTGGAAATCTCCCACATAGATTGGAAGCCTACCTACTTCAGAAATTGTCAATAAACGAAAGTCTATCCCCTCAGTATATTACATATTTTTTTATAGGACATAGTAAACATTCTGAAGTCTACGATAAAAAGAAAAGAACGTCCGACACCACCCGTGGACATTCGCCCCCCTTTCTAAAGGGAAAGCTAAGGTGGTTTTCGAAAAAGAGACATTTACAAAAAGCTATGGCTCAAATAAACACATCCAAACCCCAAACCGCAACAGCCGATAGAGCAAACCTAACAAAACCTAAAGATACCTAAATCTCAGAATACTTATGTATTTCCAAGTACTTACATACCATCGGAAGAGCTGGTCGACTATATCTTTGCCATTAACCACCTATTAAATAGGGCACACTTAAAAAGAAAGACATGCAATAACGGTTTACAAGTGAAAACAGGAGCGAAACCCTCTATGATGCGATGTTAGAGGTGTCTCTTTAAGCCTGGACCCTTTCGTTAGTTGCCAGAATAAGACTTGGATACTCCAGCATCCAGCAGAACAAGGAATTGCAAACAGTGCGCCCATTTGAGCATACTAAAAAGAATTGTCCATTCGCTTGCCATTTGTACTCACTGTGGCAGCTAACCACACACTAGAGAGGTGTCCCAGCATCTTTGAGGCACTACATGCATAAATTGTAATAATTACAATAAAAAATACAATACCAAACACACGACCAACCATTCGCCCTTTAAAATTAAATTCCCTCGTTTAAGGCTAATACAAACACGAAACCCGTAGTCCCTGGGCGAAATCATAAAGCAGTCACTATGTGGCGGTAGTTGTTTTTTAAAATGTGCCAAATACATTAGACCTTTGCATAAATAGACGAATTAAATTATAAATAAATTATGAAATAAATATTTTAATAACAAAAAAATATATTTCCTCTGTATCTATAAAAAAATTTAACGGCCATGAGGGTATTCTTCTTTTGTGTCAATGGCAACCAAAACTAAATGTCAATGGCCCAGAACTCCGCCACTTTTACGGCGCTATCTGCAGCCGTCATGAGATCCTCCTGCGTACTAAAAAAAAAATAATCGTTTGAGCTCAGTTCCTTAAATGGTCGAGCAAATAAACAAAATCTCCTCTCTTAAGACATGTTGACATATTTTTATATTTAATATTTGAAGTTTTATTTATCTAAGAATCTTTATGATTCAATTTTAAATGTTTCCAGATTGTAAAACTTTACAGATTTTTTTTACTTTCAAAACAATGCCTACTTGCCTTTCATAGTTCTAAATCTGGGGTCGGCATCATGCGCTCGTGAGTCGCATTCCAGTTCAGCAACAATTATTAATTTACTGTAGAAAATCTAGCCGATTGAGATACATATATTGACTACTAGCTTTCCGCCAGCGGCATCGCCCGCGTGGTCCGCTGGTACCTTACTCATAGATCTAAACTCCCCCCCCGCACGCGCACCCCTGCCTTGGTGACGCCCACTTCGCAACGGGCCGTGTAGCAGAGATCGTAATATTTTAACTTCAAAACCAAATATCCAATTTTAATTATTTAAATACCAAATATTATCTACATAAACTGTACTTAGTGATGAAATAATCTATTTTGATAAAGATTAATAGCATGCGTAAAATAAACGCGTTTAAATGTAGTCCAAAAAAAAATTCATGATGTCATAATATAAAAATGGTTGTTGTGCCTCACTCGACATAGATAGGTATAGTGTGTCGCGGACTTTTTTGTATATATTTATGAGATACGCAAAATAAGTAACTTTTCTGGTTGATTTTTTACACCTTGTGTCCGAAAAACCCCAAATATCTTACGGATCCCTATTTTTTCCAAACTAAAATATAGCCTATGTAACTCGTGAATAATGAAGCTTTCGAATGGTGAAGGAATTTTAAAAATCGGTCCAGTAGTTTTGAGCCTATTCATTACAAACAAACATACAAACAAAGTTTTCCTCTTTATAATATTAGTATAGATTAGTATAGACAATACAATAGATGACTGAGAGATAGTAATTCCAATAATATTATTTTTTTGTTTGTTTTAAAATAATTTTCCAATATTTATTTCATACAGCTAAATTTTTTTATATAAAATAATATATTTTGTGGGAATAAGCACTTATTTTAAATCACGTTTTGAGAAAGTTTTTCGATCCCTTATTCTATTATTATGGAAAATAACAATACTAATATTAGAAATCGCGTATTAAAATATCGTGTTAAGAAGAAATAAGTAAATATTAACATTTTTCAATCCAACCATTATTTTTCAGTGTTGTATTTTTAAATACTTAATATAAATTTATAATGAAACTATCTTTTTTAGAACAATGGGCAGACATTGTATCTACACCAGCGAATGGATTTGTTGGTAAGTCACTTATAAATATAGATAAATGAGTTATAGAATCCTAAATTAATAATTATGTGTATATTTTAACCGTCTCCCCTTTCCTGAGGGTTTCAAAGTACAGAGCATCATATATCTAGGTAATGTATACAAATTGTTTCAGGAGCGAGTTGTGCAGTAACAATTACGGTAACCACAATCACAGACAGTTGGCTAACTGCCAAATTAAAATTCGATGAATTGCCTAACGACGGTCGAGACCTCACTGTGGAGTTACCGCGATTCCCAATTCTGCTGTCACCAGGGAAAACTGAAAAATTTACTCTCTACCTAACCTCTATGGTTGAAATGACCACTCTCTTGCCATTTACAATGTTGTTCAAAGACGCCTCGATAGAAGGAGAAATAGAACAACAAGGAAAGATAGATGTAGATATAAAAATGCCAGAGATACAGGCTATGTCATGTGATGGTGTAAACAAAGTGAGCTTTCCACCTACCATTCAGAAAGCCTGTATTAATAAATCGTTCGTACTTATAAGTGAAGGCCCAGTAGATTTGCAACTCGATTTGTCTATTAAGGAAGGTGAGGGTATGTTTTTCATTAAGAACGCTCAAGAGGTGAAGAAGTCTGATATAAATAAAGTGCTAATGGATGGGCCTTCAGAAGAGCATATGGGCAGACAAAAGCAAAAAGCTATGAACAAACAGTTGTGTAGACTATCCAGCGGCAATGCTCTCAAGGTTACAGTTTCATTCAATGCTCCTAAGTTTTCTGATCTGCAAATAAGTAAGTAATTGTATAATGAAACTTATGACTATAACATTAAACTCTATCTTACATTTGAAACCTGTTTGTATATCTCTATACTATCATACTATTATTTGTCTAGCTAATGATATTGCATCTTTCGGTGGTACACTCAACGTGAGTCTGATGGGTGTTAAAACTGTATTAAGAAAAATAGAGCTCATTGGTGTCGTTGGGGTTTTGAATTTAGTCATTGGCATCCCTGGAAATAAGCTTCGTCTAACCAAAGGTAATATATATTTTTATATGTTTTAAATAAACTCTAAATCATATATAAACCAATCTTAAGTTTAAATGAGATCAATTTGACTCGAATCTATGAATTTTTGTTGGAATTGCATAAATTCTGACACGCGACACATTTCGTAAGTATGCATGTAACTAGTTTAGTGCTGTAATATGTATGTATGTATACACATTTCTCGCAAATTAGACATCGGCTCGCTGTGGTTCTTTTATTGGTATTTATATTATTTTGCTTCCTTACTGGGAATTGTTTTTCAAATTATAATGGATCCACGATTATCCGACAAACGTTTTGCAGGGCGATTTCGATTATCGAATTTGTCGAATTATAGAGTACGCATAAACTATAGTTACACTATACATTGCTTAATGAAATTATGTTCAAACAAATGTATTACATACCTGCTAAAAATCTACCTAACCAAATGTTCCATGTTTTGACATATATGGTTACCATATATGTCAATTTCCGCATTTGACTTTTCTACCCTCAATGTAATAAAGTATAAAATCAAGTGGAGCGATTTGTCAGTTTTGTATAATCTGATGTGGTGTTGACTGTATAATCAACAGTGATAGGTATGGTCGGATTATAGGTAGAGTCGCATTAGACGGCGTTCGGCGAATGAGGAAGAACTTAAAAAAAAAAACGAAAGCCCTAAAAATCACCTCCACTAGATGGCGATGGCGATGGTCATTTCCGTTGCTTTAAACTAACATAAAAAACTGAAATTTGAAAAGTTCGAAACTTAGATATACAATACAAATACGAAAAATTACAAATAGCATATGAGTTGTTTATTGAGTTTTGAAAACTAATTCACTTTTAAATATGAAAGAAAACCGGAAAGGTTGGACAAAATCAAGAACGTACCGTAGCGATATCTAGTTTGATTTCGGGAACTAATGTTTTTTTAAGGGGGATAGAAAGTTCTAATTAGTGATTTCTTTTAACTTGATAAATATATTATTTCAGAAAAAACAACTGTAATGCTTCAAAACACTGGTACAATTCCTGGTATGTGGATCATGAAGTTTAAGAATACCAATCAGAGTAATCTAATACAATTTTCACCATCAAAGTTTGACCTTCGTCCTGGCATTTCAAAGCCCATAACATTCACATACAGTGGACACGAAGACAATGTCTTTGAGACGTACGTATGGTTACATTTATACGTTTACAGGCAATAATCAATGTGTGCATTGTACACAGTGCAACCGCTTATATGCTGTTAGCGGTCCTACCACGAAACATCTTTATCTACTTTTTCGTATAGAAGGTTTTCCGTTAACCAATAATAAATTAAAAATAACAATAATTTTGCACTATCGATAGTTGAAACTTTGAAAACAAATGCTTAAAATATTTATCTACCTTACAGATCGCTGATATTTGAAGAAATCAATACAGGTCATAAAACTAATCTTGAAATTATCACTGGAGTTGAAAAGCCAAAAGTGTTTCCTATAAAAACTAACCACAATAGCTTATCTTGGGTTCGTGCTGGTCGAAAAGAGCTCAGCCTGAAAAATTCAAGCAACTCAAAAGTTCACATCAAGTGCCAAGTTATTGGCGACGGTTTCTCTATAGATGTGCCTGGTGCAGAATCTAGAGGAACATATTTGTTGCCGTTTGGACCGTGCGAATGTAGAATAGTGCCTATAATTTTCAATCCAACTACTTACAATCCTTGTTCTGCCACGTTGCACATGGTGTTTGACAGAAACAGTGATGCATCTAGAAAGGTGTGTATTCAGACAAATTATATATTGTAGGGGCAACTAAATCAAATCATCAATATCAAATAGACGATCTATAAATAATAGACATACATTTTGTATTTCAATTTAAAAGTAATGTTTTATTTGTTCTGTGATGACTTTATTTATTTTCTTTGGTGATGTTTTTTTGTATGTAGATAAATCTCGATGTGCGTATGTACACGTCGAGGTTCTATAAATTGAAGGGGGCGAAACTTCACCGAAATTAGGTCTTTATATAAATAGATGATGCTAGTTTAAAAATTAAATACAGTTAGAACTATTTAATAAAAATTAAATTCAAAACATTTATGCATTTTCTTAATGAAAAATGTTTACAAAATCTACTTTGCCCCTGGCACTCTGAGATGGGACTCGAACCCATGACCTTTCGTAATCCGGGCGACTGTTCATGTCAAGATATGGATTCAACTCCCATTGATTCTTAAACATTTTTCATTAAGAATATTTTTTGTATATCATTGTGAATGCAAAGTTGATTCAATATAATAATTTATCGATTTCTTAAATAGATATAACAATCATTCAGTTAAACAATCATCCATTAAAATTGTCATTAAGTTTTAACGCCGACATTACCGTTACAAATTAAATTTAGCTCATTCATTAGAGCTTGAAGTAGTCATTAAACCATATTAGATATTTATGTAAACTAATTGTTAATCTATTATGAGGATGAAAAAAGACTAGTATAGTATAGTATTAGTTTTTTTATTTGTCTTATTTAGTAAAAATACTTATATTATTAATGAATAATCTTTAATTCATTCATTAGGTAATGTTATATGGATGCGCGGGCGGCGAGCATATGCGTTGGTCCGGTTTGGTGACATATGGTGATACAGCGCTAGTGCGGGCAGTCAGTCGCGCTCCCATACAACTCAACTTGTACAATAAATCGCATCTACCCGCATTTGTATGCGCACGAGTGCATTTCAATCGTGAGTATTGCCTGATTTTATTATCATTTCCTAGTTTAAGTGAGATGGAAATTAGGAAACAACATTTTTAGCAATATATTACAAATCTCAGTTGATCATAGGACTTAAAACAATGCTCCTGGCCTCTAGTTTTTACTTGATGCGGGTTTACTTCGTTCTTTATTTTATACTAGTAATACTAGCCTATGTTATTCTGTGTTTGACGGATTCAAGTTTGGATCCTCGATCTTTCCCTTTCCTTAAACTATTGATTCCGAAAATAAACCGCTATATTCAGTCGATGTTAACTCCGTTTGATGACAGACGGAAGTAAAAAAAATACGTCTGGTGAATATCTTCCGAAGTTATATAAGTTGATCGAACAAATTGGGTGACACGAAAACATTAGATCAATCTCAATGGTTCATCATAATCAATCCGATAGACAACTTTTTTATATTTATTTTATAGACATACATGAAACATGCCGCCTGGCGAGCGATAGAGGGGAGGATCTGTAGATAAATCTCGATGTGCGTATGTGCACGTCGACGTTCTATATATTGAAGGGGGCGAAACTCCACCGAAATTAGGTCTCCTACTATCGAGTCGCCAGGATACTCACAGTCCTAGCGATAAGAAACTTTTCAAAATCAGTAGACCACTTTTTTGGTCAACCGTACGTAAACGTATTTCATTGTGTATCTAAATTCTCCTGGATCCCTTATATGACATGTTGTTTTAAGCTTTCATGGTAATTTACATTGCAATGGTAGTTTTTTGCGGGATTGCTATCGTGTACTTTGTTTTTGTTGAGTTCTGTTGCAAGAGCCATGATCACGGGGTAACTGATGTTTTTGCGGGTGGGTATCATAGGCAGATATATCTATCTACCTTCTTTATAGTCTTTTTCGTTCAATACTCGTACCATCGCCGCCGAAATATTGGGGACTCAACAAGGTACATAGTAGTAATCCCGCAAATGAACTATCATACTTTTATATGATGCTTGTGAAGCAGGCCCGATTACATAATAGTTACAAAAAGAATAAGCTTCACAAAAATGGCTTTTGAAATTCATACACATTCTTTTTATTTATTTTTAAAGTCCCGAAATGAAACAAAAGAAAAAAAATCAAAGACAAAATATGGTCTCAGGGGAGGAGGTTGTATGTGTGGGTGCAATATCAAGTTTTTGCACCGTTCGGAAAAAATTTGTAGATCCGAGCCTGTTGTGAAATGAATATTCTTTTGACCGTAGTTCAATACATGTGCGTGGCTGGTACCGCGCAAGTATCGGGCGGCTCTCACGTGGTGGGCGGTCGCGCGCGCCACACGCTCACACTGGGCGTGGAGTGGGCGCGCGTGGAGCGGCGTGCCCGCGACGCGCCCGCCTCCACCGCGCTCGCGACTGTCACGATACTCACCGGCGCTGAGTGTACGCGACGCAGGATACTACGGTATGTCTCTTAACCACTTTTATTTAATAGGGTTGTGTCCTACATGTGAAAACGCGGGTCACTTTAATGTTTTTCGGAAAATATTTACCTTTTTAACTTATAAATATTTAACGAAATAAAGTTTATGACGTTAATTTGGAAAATGTTACACTTTGAAAACTTGAAAAAGGGGAATGTATATAAAGATGTATACAAAAAGAATCATGTCCACATTCTATACATTTATTGACCTGTCACATGTTTTATGCTATTTTTAAAGGTCGCGTTTACCCACCATCAGTCATAATATAAATAATCTAAATTAGTTTTTGCATTAAATAGAATAATATCTTAGCAGTTTCTATTTGGAGGTTAGGGAGACTCGAGATAAACCTTCTTTAATAACACTGTAAGAGTTTAGTAATATTTATGACTAAATTGACAAGATTTTTTTAAACACTTACTTCATTTGAGTAGTTGTTTTTTAATGCAAGTAAAGCTTTTAATTGCTGTTAAATTTCTTAATATGATTTTTTATATCATGTATTGTGTTGTCATAAATAATATGCTTACGAAATCAAGCGACCAAGCAAAGCATTACTTTCTTAATAAATCAATTTGTTCCAGAATCCTTAAAGAGGAGTCTAATGGAGAGCTGGATTGTTCGCTCTTACCAGATCACCTGAAAGTGCTCACTGATAAGTTAGAAGGTGAAGACGCGAACATGGACGAACGTCTCGCTGATTTTAAGGAAACGAAAGTAAGTTTAAAAAAATGCAGAGCAATTGTTTAAAAACAAATTTGGGCATGCAGTCTCGATTTCTGTAGTTGATTTTAAACTACTCTCAAAGTATTCTTTTAAAGTCTAGTACATAAATTTGACGTGTGAGTGAAACGGACAATTAATGCGTTGTATTTTAAACTTTATAGTTGAAACAAGATTCATTATACATTTTAATCATATGTTCGATCATCGTCAGCATTGGCAGATCTGCTCTAATTCGCCATGAAAATTTCTTTACAGAACATGATTTTGATAACCTGATAGTTTATCGCGATGTGTGTCTCCATCATCATCATCATCATCATCAGCCCATATTCGTCCACTGCTGGACATAGGCCTATAAAACTATAAATTTTCTTTATACTTTCAATAATCATTAAAATACAATTGCTATGAGTTAGCAACCGAACTCTGCAAAACTAGATGCGTGCTTTGTTTGTTCCTACTTCACAAATTGTTCATTTCAAAACCATATGGGAGCGTTTATGCTTGCTTGTATATTTATGCTGTTTGATCAGTCATAATTTTTGATATGATTTTATTTATGAAGTACTTACCACAGTAAAAGTTTATTACATTCAAGGGCGTAAGGGGATTTGCTTATGAGGAAGTATTTCAAAATAACTAAAGCACTAAAAAAGCACCTCCAATAGATGGCGACTCTAGCAAAAGTTGATTTTTGCAGGAAACGAATGGACTAAAGACATTCATTTCCGTTCCTTTTAACTAACATATTAAAAAAGTGTAATTTAAAAAGTTCGAAACTTAGATATCAATACAAATAGAATATGAGTTGTTTATTGAGTTTTGAAAACTAATTTACTTTTAAACATGAAAGAAAACCGGAAGGGTTGTCATGGAGTAATCAAAAACGACATCTAGTTTGATTTCGGGAACTGTTTTATTTAATACTTCCTCATGGAACAATTCAAAATCTTTGACGACTACAGATAATATTTTTTGTTCAAAATTTGCTGTCTTGTTTTTGTTTTAGTTTAGTAATAAAAGCCAACGGTGTATTACCTATTTCAGGCTTCTTTGAATGAACTCATTGGAGGATTGCAAGAGCTTACGGCGCAAATCGATCTTCCACAAGATTTCACTGATGAAAACACCATAATTATTACTGATGATACTGTGATAGAGCATCATACTCTTTGTGATCAATGAATTACTAAAAAAGGCTGTTTTTATTTAGAGTAACAATTATATTTCTGCATTTGTTAATAAGTTCTAGTTATGGTAGTAATATATGTTGTAATGAAGTCAAGATGTTTATTTTTTAAGTATATATAAGCATTCCTTTAATCTTTTACATTATTAATTAGTTTAAAATTATTTATACTCCGTCCTTTATATATGTAGAAATGTCTTAACTAGTGTCAAAATAAAATACATTGTTTAATTCATATTATTTATTATTTTCTTAACCAGTTATATTTATTCCAATCGTTTTTCCTATTTTTTTTTCAAATCATTGTTATCTAAGAGATTCGACTGTCGATCACAGTGATCCATTAGAATGACCTTTTAAAAATATTGCCTACAACTTATAAAACTAAAATGCATTTCCACTTATAACAAAGTTATTAAACACCGCAAAAATGATATTTTATATTTATTATATACAGGACTAAATTTGACGGTTCATAGATTTCAAATGGTTACTTTTTCTAATATTTATCTCTCATCTTTTACATTAAACCCCTATGCTTTTTGGATATAGAGAGAAATGCGGGAGACGGAAGTTTGTAAACAAAACTAAATTAATTAGGTGTCTCTAAAACGACAGTGTTGGTCCTTTCTGAAGAGGTTTAGTGTAAAAGACCATATCAACGGTACATCGAGCTTTGTGTATTTTATAGTATCATGATTATATCTTTTACATACACATTGAAAATATTCCACTCTCGTACGTCAACATTCATACAACACATGCATTCGTTTCATGCTCGCACACAACATTCCATTCGTTCATACATCGCATTTGGCAGTATATCATAGTCATTTTCGCTATGTCAATATACAAATCATACTTTTCATCATGCTTAGTAAAAAATAATGTAGGCTCTTGCAATTTTACACAATCGAAACTAGTGTGACTATAAAATATTAAGGCGAAAGGTATCATGTGAATATTGACACATTACAAAAGTGAGCTCCACATGGGATTTCTACTTTGCCGTACAATCTACATTATGAAAAAATCTTATTAAAATGGAAGTACTTACACATCATTATGAGGTTACAATATAACTAATTTGGGTCAAAAATGGCTGACTATTCGATTAGTACAGTGCTTTGAAAATACTATTTTCATAATTTATTGCATTATACCTATTAGTCTAAAAATTTGCAAAAGAAGACATATCGAGAAGATATAGATTCGCAATATACCAATCTAAAACACTAACGTTTGGAAATGTACAGCTAAAATAATCCCCGGGTGACACATTCACTTCATGCGGATACAATACGTATAGTCTTAGATATATACATTACACACTCACACGTTTTTACAATAGGAATTAGAATTCTAACTAAAAAAAATAATAAACCAGTCACTTAATGAGCTATAAAATAGTATTTATGTAAGATTGCCAACGATACACTGGCCTAGAGCGGACCGGGCGAGGTCCGCGTAACTCTATTGTTGTAAGAACAATCACATTCTAAAGTTATTAGTAATCGCCGAGGCTCGTGATTTATGTATAACATGCTGTTGTTCATTCTAAATTATTTCTTAACAAGTAAAATACGCATCACTGTGATAACGGACTAGTCAAAACAGGGATCGCATTTTAAGAGATCAATATGGCTTTTTAAAAACGCGTGCGGTTTGCATTAGATTTGAACAAATGTTAAACATAATAGTTCCATTATAGCAATCGATCGACACCTAACTTATAATCGCTTATGAATCGTCCATAGATTTGATATCATCGGTAACAGTTATAGTACCACAGTTCGCCCGTCAATTGTACCCGTACCGTCTCTCGGTGTGGGATTATAGTGGGCACGCCGCAACCGCTACACGACTCGTCTTTCGAGGGTATCCGACCTCGAAGTAAACTTATGTCAGTCTGATCAAACAATTATGTATACACTCATTTATTTATAGTGATCAAAATTCATATTCGTCAACGTGACTATACCACAGAAATGATGCATTCAATTCAGTATCGTAGCCGATAATTGTCATTAAAGTATAACTATCACAGATAATATTTAAAAGTAAAAAAAGGGTAATTCGAGTTGGAATCGTTGCAGTTCATGTAAAAATAACTATATATCTAATAACTGTTATACCAATCGTGTATTTGTCGGCACGCAGTAGGTAAACTCATGAATAATTTTACTCATTCGTTACGAAAACAGTTTTGGTATATCGGTTCTGAAGACTGAGATGGTTCCGCGATCGATATCACATAGTAATAGCAAAATTTATAATCCTGTTAAATATATTCGAGTATAGGTACTTAAATATGGAACGACTTGAATTTATTTAAAAAAAAAGGAACAGAGATGGACGCAATGTAATTATACTTTGTTTTGATGATTATAAGATTAAATACTGTAAAAGTAAAAATGAAATAATTACAAACACGTGATGTATGCATGTTATCTTCCACGTCGGATTACATTCTGTCTATCTCCGATATGGAACTTCTAACGGTTTGTTACTTGGGAACAGGTACACCGATTTCCATGTAGAAAATATCTATTCGAGAAACTACATATAATACGACAATTTATAATACAAAAGGGTCGATTAACTTTATAAATATTAGTTTCTTGAAATATATTAACATTTACAAAGTTTCGACCCTTCACAATTTTTGTCGTACATATATATATGTATATATATTTGCAGTAATATAAGCCTTGAAAATAAATTTAAAACTACGGAATTATAGCAATTTCTACATTATTCTTTGTCTGTATAAAATTTAAAAAACCCTCTGGTTTCATTAGAATACGAGAGAAATTCTAAAATCGTGAAATATAGGATTCATTCATTTTATAGAGACCATAGTCGTTCTGCTGTATGAAAGCATCGTCGAAGTCAAGAGTATTTATGTAATTCACGATTCTGGAATCGCTTCCGCATTACACACTAACCACATCTATAAGCTTCTTTTGTTTCTCCGATCCGATCTCTTTTATTGCACAAACTATTTCTAGAGCGAGAGCTCGCGTCAACCAATTACAATTTCAAACTATTACACCTACCTGAGGAAACTTAAGTTGTCTTGTATGCAAGGAAGGGATAGAGTATCAGAAAGCGAGTATATTGCAACCCCAACATTAAAAATTTATTCTTTTGGACTGTTCGCTTCATTCTCGTCTTAACTTTAAGGCCTTTTTATGTTGTACTTAAAACAGGATACATTTTTATATACATCGAATAATTATATAACACCTTCCGAATATCATCTGTTTCTAATACATATCAAGTTAAATGCGTTCAAGATAGATATTATACAGGTGGATTTATGAGACGCGATAGTAAAGGCAAAGTTACATGAAATAGTTCCTAGGAGACCATCCTTAATGTTTTAACATATTATGAATTGCATTCACAGATTTTGGAAAAGTTAGATCCAAAACCTGGGAATGCACTTCATAATTATCTTAAAAAGTCATGGATAGTCTCATAGGAACGGTTTCATCAACGTCTTAATTAAACCACCTGTGTATATAAAAATGGTTTTACAAAACGAAATTCAGAAACACGCATAGATGTGGCTAGTTAAAAAGTGTATACAGCTTCACTATAAAAAAATGCGTCAAAAAAATATAAAGAGATTAACTGTCCATACAAGATAAAAAGCGGTAATAAACTTTCTTTTTTTGAGAGACCGCTTTTCCTCTTGGAGGGCAGTATATTAGTTCTACAATCGTTATGGATTTCCGCAAAGTAACACCTGCACATGTAGCACAATGACCTCTAGAAACGGTATTTATGTCTACATTTAAAATGTGTCTCGAGTGCTTCGAGTTCGCCATGTTATGCGTGTAGATACTATTGTGCAGTCGCCGAACAGAGATTTTTTATAATAACCCGGGATTACAATCTTCCACTCGTGCGTAAACATATTGTTGTTGTATGGTTATTGTATTTATTTATTATAATTTTGTCATAGTAAATATAAATTGTTTATGATATCTAACAGTATGCGTGTCCAATAAGAATAGGATCGGGATTGCTACCAACTTCAGGGCTTTGCTGTTGTATTAGTACTGGCAGCAAAGAAAATTAAGTTTGCTAAATATTTATTTAGATTCACCTAGCTTAATAGACATATTATGTTCAATTTCGGGGTCAATTACAAAAGTAAATAATATAGTTTCTTTTTGCACACCTTACACTCTGAATTTGAAGCGTAATGCGAACTAAAATGGATGTTTGTCAGTCCCCATTTCTTATTCGACTTGCATAATAAACACAAAGCTTATCGAACGAAATTCTCTGTTTGGCGATTGGACTATATAAAAATTAAGAGGTACGCATAATACTTGATTTGTACAATACAGTACTATCGGTCGGCCGGTTCTGTGTAGTGGTGGTGGTTGAACTTGAAGCGCAATGCGAACGAAGACGACCGTTTGACAGTCATTTTCTTATTTGACTCGCATAGGCACAAAGGTTAACGTACGGAATTCTGTTTGGCGATTGGACTGTATAAAAATAAAGAGGTTCGCATACTATTTGTACAGTGCAGATCTATCGGTCGGGCGTGCGCGGGGCGGGTGCGGGGGCGGGGGCTGTGTAGTGATGGTGGTGGTGATGCACGTGGCGCGCATGTTATGGCGCGCGGTAGAGCAGGTATGCGGTGAGCGCGGGCGGCAGCGAGAGACGCGACGCCGCGTGACGCAGCCGCACGCGACCCACGCGCTGGCGGATCACACGCCGGCACAATTCCATCAGAGGCAGCGGCTCAGCTGTTAACGGAAATACAGAGTAAGACATTTGCAACGTTACACGGACACTCCTTAAAAGCAGATTAACAATAAGAGCTTGTAACAGACAGTGATGGGCAGAGGAATCTTGCACATAGAGCCTAGTACAGTATTATATTTATTGTTTGTGAATTGATATATACATTTATCATGTATTTTCTTTATTATAATTGTGTATCTGTTAATATGTATTGGTTTATGTAAGTATACACCTGAGCATTGTACGCTTTATTTATTATTTCATTTTATTTTTTTAAGTACCTCAACCAATGGGCGCTCTAAGAATAAAATAGCGCTTCTGTATAATTATACCCATCTTAAAGTGATACAGGGATATTGCTGAGAGATGGTCAATGTTGACCACTCTTTTTTTCTATAAAGAAATGTTATTATAAAAATTATTGTGCGTGCACAGATGTGGTCAATAAACTACTTTCTATTATATTTCAGCTTAATATTATTATATCTTAACAATAAAATAAGATATTTTACAGTAAAGATATAATAGTATTTTGAAATCTTTAAAAAAAATATATTTCCGCATCGTTTGGCATCTTAAAATGAAAATATTATATTATCTTAGGCGTCTGTATTGGGGCCATGGGATTGTGTGGCGAGCGAATTTTATCTTAGCGAACGATATTTCAGCGTCTGTTGTAAGCTTAAAGGCTCATACGTTAATTGACAAAACCCACGTGCAGATTGCAGGCAATTTCTGTGCCTCGTTTTCATTAGTCAGATATTGGTTTATTGACCGATGAAATGAGCACACAGAAATCGCTCGCATTCCGCATGCGCGATCTGTTGACCAATGTCAAAAGCAACATGATAAAAATCAACACTCGACAACAGTTCGATCGATAGATATACGTGCGGGAAACGGAAATGTATAAAACAAAACATTGCAAAGCCCTTTTTATACATCCGTTTACTATATCCTAACCTATCAACAAGTGAAAACGACTCCTCAGATAGGGACGTACAACATACGTTACAGAAATATCTAACACTCAAAACTGACAAAGTACTAAAATTATGGTCGAGGCTAATCTATTGATTGATGGCCTTTTTCATTTTGTCGATTTAAGAGCAGTACACTAGTGTGCAATATGTTTATGCCTGCTTATGGAGGTGTTACCATCTGTACGGTAGATGTAAGATACTGTCCAGCTCCATCACAAACAACGGAACATTTCATACTGTTGTTGCCTCTAGAACGCGATGGAAAAAGTTGTACTTTTTTATTGTATTTTGCAAGCAATTAACTATACATTGTATACTGTATGCAGTCGATTACCTACGCGTTTCGTGTAAAACACCGCCCAACGACGCGTGCGCGTTCGTCGCGTCGATGCGAATGGATGCGTACGTCGTCCTATACTTTACGCTCTTTTTTATGGAAAAACAGACAAATCGTCAAACGTTATCGATAAGTGGTCGCCCCTTATTCTCAAGTACCCACTAACCATCTACATAAATCATTTGGATATCATGGCTAATTAAAAAGCGGACGAACTAGCAAGGACTAGAGCACATAGGCTACAAATAGGCCCCGAAATATTTTGCGTTATTCCGAAAAACTATACGAAGCAAATCATAAAGGACGACCTTCATAACGGTTCGAAAAATAGTGGCACAATTGAGCCGGATTTCGAGCAATGATTATACATAATTCAAGGCTATTTGTAAAAACTAACTGAAGAGCTTTTGAAGATCAACGGAACGAACACCTGAGCGATTTATTTAGTACAGTTAACAGATCGCCAGGTTAAATAAAACCGTAAAATTTTCCTACTCGATTTTAAACCTTAATATATTGGAGGGTAGAAGTCAAAATACACTATGGAAATTCGACTTATTATGGTAAACTGACATGCAGCCGCGTGTACATTGAATCAACAATAAAGTAAACGAGATATAGCAGATAGTTTTAGAATGTGTCTCTGATTTAATGTTTTGTTTATTCTATATAGTGTGGATAGTGTACTCACGATCTAGTCCGCCGATATACTTCATGGTGATCTCCGCGTGTCCCCACACGGCAGATACTATGGGGTATAACGTTTTGCCGCGTAGTCCGCGCGCAGCCACGCCCAGGTAACGTCCATCCGCGCAGAATGCGAGCGTACCCTCGTCCATATCTAGCACCACCAGTAGTCGGTCCGGCACTAAGAACTGCTCGTCGGGCCGCAACAGCGACGGGTACGTCGTACCATTTCCGCCCGTGCCTTTCGCATTGTGGTATACCTGGAAATGAAAAAAAAAAGCTTATGTGATAATCTTTTAATTATTACATAAGTAATGAGAAAGAATCTAATCAATGAAATCTGATTATCGTTCAGTTGATATGTATTTGCGACTGTTAAGAAGCAGTTCCCGCTGGACCCCACGTCCTTCCCGATGTACCCTTTCAAAAGTGAGGGTATATCGGAGGAGGTTCAGTGGATATGCCATCCACGTTTTGACTTGCCTGTCAAGCGGCAGGGATAGTGCATAAAGCATTCCCCCTACTACAAAAAAAGGGGGAAGTGTGAGAACCGTTAAGCTCGACAAACTTTTTTTATGGCTCGTCATAGGGAGAAAGTGCAAGATGGACAAATGGGCAGATCTATTTGTTAGGGTGTGATAATTTGAGATTCTAAACGTCAAAATTACCAAAGTTGCGGAGTAAGCTATATGCTGTAAAAGAGGCCAAGGAATCCACCGAGAAAATAATAAATATTCTTAAAGGACACGGACATTTACATAAACGCCTTTATAAATTAGGTTTTTTGCTACAATCCGTGTATAGAGCCTGTTTGAATGATGTATACAAGATATCACGACCTGCTGTACTGGAGAGGCATAGCCATGAACCAAACTAAATTATACGCAGTCATTATTATATGGTATCTTGTGTTCTGCAGGTAGTGATAAAGTAGATTACAGAATTTGTTAAGGGAAAATGCCATCCTCTGTAAACGAAAAATAGGCTTGAGTTAGAGAAAAGAAAAGATATAGGATGTAACTTTATTTGAACGAGCCGCATCAGTCATATCTAGTCGCTTATTTAGCAATGACTGGGACAATTATAATAAAAGTTATGATTATGAATTAATTTACGAGAAAAAGTTAACCAGAGAAATTCTAGTAAACAGTAAATCAATACAAATATAAAATTTTGATTATGATTTATTTGATAGTAAATAAATAAGCTTTAAGCCATAACGAGTAGTATTAGAGTGTAATGACACTCTTATATAAGGTCTCATATAATTGGCTTAACGTAATCGAGAGCTATGTTACGTTTAAGTATGCTCAATTGGTAATAAAATTGGGTTAACTTTGATCATCAATTTCTTTTACGGATATTTCTATGTTACCCAGTGTTGCCAAATAAATAAATCCCTTTTTATAATGATAGACTTAGTTTAGTTACCTAATACGTGTATTGCGTTAGAAATGTTTACTACATATTACTTAAAGAACAATTATAGCGAGCGCAGCTTAGAGGCGCTACCTTGTGTTTGCGTTTCAAATATCTGCTTTTCTTTTCCTAAGAATTTCACATTGAAAGTTTGAATGCTTTCTTTAGGAAAACTAAGATGAATTTAAAATATATATATTTTAATTGGATGACGATATACCCATTGATATACCTATTTATTTGAACTTAGGGTAAATTTCGATATGTAATTGTTCTATCATTTACCCAGCGAAAGTTCATACTTCAAGCAAAATCAACGGAAAGCAACGGCAGCGATGTATGATTTTGTTTCTGCCAGGCGGCGCTAGAATAAAAGCTGATCTTGTTCTACTTCTGTGCTATTTTTCTATAAATTCAAATAGCACACAAAACGTCAGTTTTCAAAAATCGAATCAATAAATTAGGAATCAGCAGATTTAGCGCATTATCTATTCCAATTGAGAGTGTGGCAGTATGTAAAATGAACCAACCTTATTTCTGCCCAAATCCCATCCCCAACTCTGGTCTGTCGCGCCTACTAGGCTTTGGTAGCCCACGGAGTGTAGAGGCGCGTGTGCCGTCGCAACGCCCACCACTGCGTGTGTGCCACGTTGTCTCACTTGCCATACTATTTCCCAGCAGTGTAGTCCTCGGGAGTACCCGACCCGCCCTCTTATACAATCTGTGCTCTGTGCTACAGGATGCCGGTGAAACGTTAACGCGTCTTCTTCTTTAACGAATATATTTAATGATCTGGAATGAAGAGAATTCGTTATCAGTATTAAACATTTAAAAATCCATAAAGTATTTAATGGATTTCATTAACTACTATTTCGCATATTGAAGGTATATTCATGGAATTTTATTGTTAAATAATTTGGCAAAGTTTAGTATGTTTACAATCTTTCGGGTTTGAAGATTTACATTTTTAATGTTAAGACTATATTGTCTTTATTACGAGAATGTATTTCTGGCAGCGGGAACACATGACTACCCCCACGGTCATTGCACCACCTCCAGTTGTCTAGGGAGGGTTCCTTGTAACCACCTGGGAAACCTCCCGCTCGCAGAGAGGGAAGAACACCACCGGGTGTCCCCCACGGTCCGGTTTTACCTGAGACTTATTTTAAGATACCAGGTACCGGACTATGCGCGAGGGTGGTACGGGGGGTTTTGCGAGGTAGGCTGCTGTAGATAGGGAGTTGTTTAACCCTCCGCAGCAGTAGAGACCCGGGTTCAGTCGGCCTTTCGTCCAGGTCAGTTCCCCTCGGTATAAAAGGAGAATTTGTTTCTAATAAGATTACTTAATTAACACGTGACGGCTCCAATATACAGCGATATTAGACGGTGAGTGTATTCTATAATTTGGACGCGTACGTACTTAAAATATAAAAACATTATCGTATATTCAGTTAGTAAGCGTAGTTTAAATTAAAACTGTTTCAGTTGGTTTATTTTTAGTATGGCCCGTGGATGTCAACGTCCGTCCGTGTCATCCAACAATGACATCTGTCGACATCTTTTCCGGTAGAGGAATCTGATTGAGTCATCTCTGAAGTAGTTGCGAACACGGTAGTCATTGTGTAGTTGATGGAGTAATTAGGAGGCTGGTGTAAGAACCTTTACGGTACTGAGATTCCTCAATAATGGATTGTAAAAGATCCATTTAGTAAAGGGTAAAAGAGCATCACAACTTCACTAATGTTCTGTAACTAATAAATGACATTTCGCACCTCTTAATTAAAGTCCAGGTATCTAGCGTAATAAAGTATACATTTGGACAATTGTAAATAATTAACATATAAGTGTATTTATGATTTGAAACTATTTAAGGGCAATGTCATTTTACTGTATTATTATAAGTTAATAAGGTTTAAGTTTGTGCTGTTAATTTGTTACTTTTTGCTTTTATAAATTTTAGAACTTTACATATTTTTACTACAACACACTTTCAACCACTTTTATTCCTATTTAGACACCTTACGAATACTTTCTTTATAATTATATAGCACTGATAGTAGGTAGTCTGAGAATAACTATATTCAAAAACCCTGTCAGGTTTACTAACAAGAAATGATACAACAAGTATAATATGCTGGTTGTATATATGTATCCAACTTAACCTAATTCGTCTAGTACACATAATTCATTCACTGAAGGAACATAAGAAACACTACCCAGGATAATTTTATCGGGCTGCAGTTTCCTGTTGACAGCAGGCTAATTGCTCAGGCGACATTGACAGCAATACCGACCTGTCATCTGGGTTCCACGCATGTTTGAGCTGTTGCTCAGGGTGCGCTGGTGGCGCGTCCAATAGCGCGTCGAGGCGCGCGGGCCGCGGAGGCTCAGGTGCCAGCTCGCGGGCTACCACCGCCTTGAACGGCGCCGTGCAATCGCGCGACACCGACTTGACACCGCCGGAGAGCTTTTGCCCCATGTTCATGCCCCTGCAGCGAGTGCGGGCGCGCTTCGGCAGCGCCTTGAGGCCGCTGCGCCGCGCCTCCTCTGCGCCGCCGCCGCCGCCGCCCCCGCCCCTCACTGAGCGCACCCCGCTCTTGTACCTGCAAATAAAAGTAACAACATTTATATATATGTTGAAATGGAAATGTTATTATATCACATATCCATTAAGTTTACGCTATAAAGTAGAACAACAAAAAATCAGCATTTCCCTTCTGATTCAGTTAGATTGAAACTCATTTAGGACATAAAATATACGGGAAACCCTTACCAAGATGGTCGACTACGATGAATAGTGACTAATTATTTTGGCGGAATAAGCTTCTGTTATGATCTAACATAATAGTTGCGAAAATAAAAATAAAATTATAAGACCATTTAGAATTAAAGGAATCTATTTGAAGGCCATAACCAGGTCAGGCACCTCATGTTCAGTAATCACTTGGCCTTGAAAAACAAACTATGATGCCAAAGTCGTTAGTAACGATGTTTTTTCCTATATCCACAGGGGCATCTATTCAATAGTATATTTAATCAAATTGTACTTTATGTATACATAATAGTATTGAAAGGTCAACCACAGTCATGAATCCATGATAGCAATTACGCGATCAATTTGTAATTATTATTTAATCCTATTGTGGAAATCGGTGAAACCGGTTAAGATGTTAGTGAGTGGCACGCGTGTCGTCATAGCAGATGCTTGGGCGTCGACGAAGTAGCGTGCATCTTATGTAACCAGCGCCCGTCTAACCGTGAAAGTCACCGCTCAAAAGCCAAGGTTAACACGGCCCTGGAGCCTCGTTCAAACACATGCGAATGTTCTATGACCGATGCCTTAATTGATATTTATATCCTTGACCATGATGTCATCTAATTGCAAAGCAAATCTTTGTGGATATGGAAGTTGCTTATTCATAAATTATATATGTGATTTGTATTTTTGTAAGGAAATGGTTTTCCAGCCAATTGAACAAGGTATTTTACGAGTAATATCATTTTGGGCTTAGGGTTTACGATTTTAGATTTCAGCTGTTAAGTTGCACGTATGATGAGAAGGGAGACCTAGAAGGTATGTGAGCCACAAGGCCGTCTGCCTTTCCGTCCGTTGCCTATAGTGGCTCCACGACAAAAGCGGGAAGTGAAAGGCAGTGAATGTGTCCCCTCCCGTGTCAGGTCGGCGCGCACACCAACATCATTGTTTAAACGCCATATCCTAGAATGGCGGCAGTTTGACACGTTCGAATAAATAGACTTGAATTGGCTGGATATATTTATCATGGAACTCTGACAATCATTTGAGTTGCACAAAATTCATCACTTGTCGTAAATAACCTGTGTGAAAAGAACTAGATGCGTACATTTTTCTACGTATGTGATACTTATTAGTGTTAAAGTCAATGAATGAAGATTAAAATAGCTTTGGAAACAGAAGTTCATTCATCTTTCTATATGGGGCAGTAAATGAAATTCGGAACGTTGAAATTATTTTTTGTACTGTTAAATTTATTATTTTGTCAAACTATTAGTTTGGTTTACCGTTTTGGTATTAAATGTATTATTTTGTCAAACTATTAGTGGGCTTTTATAATCGGTGGTTCACGTGGCATGGTCGTTAGTAAACAAACAGATAGGACACGTGTTGTCAACCGTCCGAATGACGTCATCACAGAACCCAGTCGTTCCACGTGAATGTTCAATTATTTCGTATTCGCATGTAAAATTGTGAATCTAGGCAAAGCGGAAATGTTTTATAGTTAGTCGATAATTCAATACAGAAAAACTGAAGCCGCGCTCTGTCACAGGATTCTCATAACTTTAAGTTGACGTCTCATTTCCTATTGCAGCAACTGTGACCTAACCTTCAAACAATAACGAGGAAAGAGACTGTAAAGAGGATTTTGTTCCGATGGATCTCATAAAATATTCTGCGACGTTAGTAAACAATTATTTGTTTGCTGTTCTGAAATATTTATTTGGATAACTCTAAAATGATGAGAACAATGTGATACGGTTTTCACAATTCCGTATATCTGTAATCGTGTAAACATATCCATGTATTATATTTTAACAGTTTATAAGAGGAAAAGCAGTTCTCAGAACTTAAGAAATGTCTAACTGGTGATATCATTTTCAGACTACGTTCATAAAACAGCGGGCGTGGGAAACTAGTCGTAGTTGCGGTTTGTCAATCCAGTCAAACGTTGGAACAGCGGTGACTATTTTTTAAAAGTACAGACGAGGCTCGGGTGCGCTAGTAACGTTCATTCTGGTGAGAGGTGAATGGAACGGGCGTTGCTAGGCCGACAACATTTGTGCTGCCAACGCACCCGAACAATGAACTAACGAAGTAACGTGTGCCGTCACATTCACTGTCTCTCTCGTTACTGATTGAAAATTGCCTTCAGTAAAAGGCACTTTTAAAATATTACATAAAAAGCATATCATTCTAATTTCAAAATGATGTTGATGATCTAAAAGTGTATCGCAGGGCATCGTTTACACGTAAGGTTTTCTCTAATTAGCGAGGCGTTCCGCTGAAATTAAGACATCTGGCAACCTTACTCGTGGACTGAGTAATATGTGTCGACGACTTGTCGAACATAGATACTAACATGTCATTGACTTTTTCGATGGAAACTTATTATTTCCAAAGTAAAAAAGGTTTGTTTGTTATACTCTTTGTATAAAGCCATGATGATACTGCAGTGTTATTGAGGTCTTCACTGCTAGTGGAGCCGACAAAGTTTGAGATATCTTGCATGTTGCATGCTGATAATAGAGGTTAGTTCAAAGTAGAGCCAATCAATATAATTTGTATTCTCAGAAACGTTTAGCTCGGTAACGTTGTTTAATAATATACCTCTTTTAATATGTAAAACCCATATTTACCCATGTCCGTATTTTTTATTGTTTACATCGGTATTTATATCTAAGAGTCATTATTTAATTATAGATGTATTTATATATAATCAGAAACCTAGATTTTCTACCGAGTGAACGTGCACTTGAAAATAAAAATTAAGAGAAGGAGAAGACATGGTATGGAAACTGGCATGTTGTTTAAACGTATGTATTTAGTTAAAAACAGCAAAAGGTCAAGGCAGTAATTACACAAAATACTGATTGGCAACGTTTAATTTGGTAAACAAACAAAAACCAAATTTGCGAGGTAAATTGAAACGTTGTCCTGAAACAGAATTGAATACTGAACGAGTCTGCGGAGGAGGGCGGATTAATTGTTAATTGGATCACAGCACGTACATTTAATATTTAAAACTCTGCAATGTCAAACTGTGCTTATTCGGTGAAATGATAGGAAATCAGCGAGAAAATTATGTTTCAAAATTACGGTGTAATTTTGCATGCCAATTGCGTTTAATACGGTGAAGTTGCCGGTCGCTCAACACACAACTTTTAATATCATATGAGTTAAATGCAGAAAAGTTTCTGCATTAATGGCAAGGGTCATCTTGTGAAACCTCTCGGCCTGACTATAAAAGGAAACATACTTTTTACATTTTTGATCTCGCGACACAGTCACAAATATATTTTACAGTCACATATATTTAGTTTGTGAGACAAAAATAAAAACTTTACATTTTGAATTTCGGATTGTCGCAAAAACATTTCCTACGCTCCAAATCTACGAAAGTTTAATAAAATTGATAGTTAAAGTTGGTAATCCTCTGAAATCCGATAAGCCTCGTGGGTATGGTTTACTTATCGTATGTCAAATATTTATGTTTGTGGGATTTCTATTCGAAGTTGTAGGTAACATATAATAATACTTAACATACAGTTACAAATAAAATCTCTGCACGGAAACAGGGATAGTGCTGTGGGTAATGTTTAATGACTATAATATTGGAATTAGTTGATTACTGGTTATTATAATTCATTATTTTTCGATTCAGAGAAACGTTAGTTTATACTTTTTTTTTTTCAGAATATACGAGGATAAAGGTTAAATAGTTTTCTGACTTAATATGAAATTGAGCATTCATTGATAAATTTCAAATATTTTGTGTTGGCTCATTTATCTTGGGGTCAGTCCTCAACAGTCTCTTATTTTAAAAACAATTAAATAATCGTCAGGGCGTGTCGCTTCAACCTTGTATTGGCGTGTCGCAACTTATTACTCTGTGTCAAGGAAAAACCCACTTAGCAGTTTCCCTGGCCCCGAACGCTAGCAACTTCAAGTTCGTATGCGTAACAACAAATGAATTTTTCCGATTTTAATCCGAAAAGTCGTAACACGTAACGTCACAAAACCGAGCGTTATATCTAAGGCTTTTTCATTTCAATCTTTTCATTTGCTTTTTTTGAAAATCGTTGCTAGATCATTTTGGTGAATAAAATACCGAAATATTCTATAACAAAGATGGCATTAATATTAAATTTGCGTAATATTTAAAGTCAAATATTGTTTATATTGTAAGTAAATTCAATAATCATACACTTTATAAAAAAAATCTAAAGAAAATAAAGGACCGTTACACTAAATAGTTAACACATGATTAATTAACACATTATCTGATAAGTGAATCCTCCATTTATTAAATACAAAAATGACGGCACAAGAGGTGTTATCATCAGTGGGCGATGGTTACATAACGAGCGTGAATCGACGCGCGCGCTGCTTGCTGCAGCAGTCATGTCAAGGATGCGTTGACTCCGACAAACGGAGCCATTGTGCCACGGTCACCTGCATCGTGTTCAATTCCAATTCTTTAATTATTTAGATAAGAATATATTTAACGTTTTAGAATATCTCACACATGATTGAAAATTATTTTTTATTTTAATTTGATTAATTGATCGTTTTGACCTATAATTTGTGTTGATAAATTTTTTATTCACAATACCTCACTGATATTTTTACCTAACATTCTTATTCCTCAATATTCATCGGAAGTACCTGAGACGGTTGGATTAGCATTTAACCGAGTTGATAGTCTTACTTTCATTGCAACACATAAAATGAAAACAAAGATGACAAAGGACGATAAAAAACCTGTACAAAAATGGTAAAAAAAATCTATCCTTTTCATGTCAATTATAATATCGAAAATGGGTATTTGTCCCATTTAGCAATTGAAGATTATCGATGATGTCTAAAATTGGTGACTTGAACGGTATAGTCTAGTTATGATCTTTACGTTCTAGATATCATGCAGGAAGGTAGTAATATTGATTAGAACTGCTGACGCATGAGTGATTACTACAATTATGTGCATAACGATATTGTTTGTTTATGAACGCGATGCATAGCGGAGCCAGGTCGCTTGCGCCGGTAGCCGAGGGCCTTGACTGCAATGCGCGCGCAGCGTAGCGTGTCAAGGGAGCGCTGCTTTCGCCGCCACGCCTCGAGCCTAGATAGAACTCCTGAAGAACGACAGAAATACAAGTCTGAGCAAAATCACAATCTTTGGCACTTACGAAATTGCATAATTCTGAATATTGAACGATGACCAGAAACTGGCCAGTTGAGAACAATTGGGGTAGTATATTGAGATATATACGTTTATACGTTTCTATAAAACGTAAACAAAAAGATGAAGGTAAGACCAATTTACCTATAACCTTCGTGCTATAGTAGCAAGTATGTCTTAAACAAAACAAAGATCTAATGATAAATTTAACAAATAGAATCAGCCGCATGTCCAATAAAATTCTAAATCAAAAGTTATAACAGAGTTGTGTTACAAAGAAATGTAGCGCTACGACAAAGTAAAGCAATCTTCTAAGTGGTTTGAGAGCAGGCTCGTGAGAACAAAGCTACCCCCGTAGTCGCCTTTCCTTCTGATAAGAACGTTCGCCACGTCTAATGCTATTAAAACAGTGTCGAGTGAGGCAGCATCGATAAACCAAAAAGTAACTAAGCAACATCTCTCTAAAGCTTCGAATTAATACGATGTATAGCGATTGCGAAACGTACCATTATTCAACCCTTCCCAAATATCAGGGAAAAACTAATAGCTATTAAATTATAATAACCAAAAGCTTATTTAATAAGAAAAACGATAATTCTTGTCGTTTAAGTGTTTAGTAGCTTAGTATAGCTGCTAATGCTTTCGGCATTTTTCAATTTAAATAAATATTAATGCTTATAATTGAAACTGTTAAGTCTGTAAGATATCTATGTCTTCAAAAATCATACGAGCAAAATGTAGTCTAGAGAAGTTAATTCATAGTAGGGCCACTCAAATTCCTCTCAAAATGTCTCAGTAGCGTTCTTGGGCGAGACAAGTCAACGAAGGGTGCCGACTACCTGAATTATTCATGCATTCGTACTTCAGCCGTCAGCTCGTCGTAATGTGCGACTATGGCAGTACCTCCGGCAGGGAAAGTAGCCGCAACTTTAGAAATACTAATAAGTATTTTAAAGACACGAAAATTTTAGTGCCTTCGCATACTAATCACAAAATTATGTAGATAATTACCATTGCTTGTAACGGTTTTAACATAAAATTTTGCGGGTTACGAAAATGTTGGTTGTTCCTAATTGGACAAGTGTGGTATCTTATGGTTCGTCTTAAAAATCAATTTCACATTTTTGTGTGTTTATGGCATTTGGTAAATCAATTTTATTAGGCACTTTTACACAAGTAAGCAAAGATTAAAACAATAATTGAACGTACTATTTCATTATTATAAAAGTAAAATTAAATAATATATTCATAAAAAAAAATTTAGACAATTTTATTACTCAAAATGTTTTGAGCAGCAGGTTAAGATAGACCGTAACATCTTCTGGCGAAGGAGGAAAAAAAGGCGGATTGTTTTATTTGTTTCTCTGTGGAAGGATCAACAATGCGGCGAGAGTCGGTGAAAACCGGTATAAAACGTGGTGTGGTTAGATCAAATGTCTTGTGTTCGGTTGTAGCTTCATTGTGATCCTTGGAAACGATGAGCTTGCTAACTATTTAGTAAAATAAATGTGTATTACAGCATTGGAGTTAGGAATGAGTCTTAAAATTTATAAGGTCTAAAAACCTAATATACAAAGAGTAATTTGCAAAAAATGTTGTAATGCAAATGTACGTAGAAAATGAAAGTTATTAACTTGCAACTGAACTATCACTTGCCCGTGCCAAATGGATAATGCAAAAGCGTGGAGATGAAAAAAGCACAGGGACAAGGACGTATTGTATGAGCAAAAATGCTATAAATAAAAGAGAAACACAAAAGGCAATGAATGGCATGGCGTATGTATGTGTCGGGTATGGGGCTGTGAGTGGGGTCAATGACACGCACCCCGCCCTGTAGTAGGGCACAGACACAGGACGTGAGTCACTCGTGGGGTTACCAGCTGCTGACGGCAAAAACTACCCTTGTCGTCGGCAAAGCAACGCGTGTTGCTGCATGCGATGCTCTTTATTTTATGTTCTAATTAAGCATACAATTTTAGTGTTCTATAAAATGATAACATAAAAACTCTGTGGAAAACCAGAGGGGTTTATAATTTTAATATTAAATATGGCGCACATCAGCATGCACCAACAACTTTCTATTTATAATTTAGAAAGATATGAATAAGCGATTTTACATATACAGTAATGGTGCCTCTATCAACCTAGAGGATTTATGCCCCTGTGGCACGCACGCATTCCTCACATGATGTTATTATTGCTGAGAACTACGAACTTTCCTTACCCCGTTATAACTTTTGTAATGTTATACTTTATAAATACATATTAGCCACTTGTTTCACGGATATTGCATGTATTTACATTGGTATGAAACAGTGACTGTGATGTAGGAGTGAAAGCGGTAACATATGCCGACCTCAATCTCTTTATGAAGTGTAGATCTCAACGCCATATGGTATAACTTGGCTCATTCAATTTCGTATGTACACATCCCAAAATATAGCCTGTGTCTAAAAAGTAGATTGCTTTGTTATTGAAATTTTGTATTACTACCTTGTTTGAGACATGGTAGGTTAGAATTTATTAATAGAATAATATTTGGAATTTTGGTTTTAGGGCATATTTATAATATATACGTTAATTTATTCTAGAGTAGTTACAAATTTTGTAAGAACCCCTTGTACCATTTCAATATAAATGATTTTGCAAACAAAGATCTTTGTATTCTAAAATTTGTAAGCTTAACGACAAATTTCAAGCTCTGTTCAGTGTCAAAACTAGGAATGCTGAATATGAGAATGGTACAAAGTAAATTATTATGCTTTGTCGTGAGATGTTGCGACTTGTGAGGAAGGGGCAAAGTACCGGACAATCGTCCTTCACCTAGGAACCGGCTGAGCATCGATCCTGTGTAGGTGCCCCGCTTGACGAGTGTATTTATAGACTCTACTCCAGTCTTCGACAATGTTATATACCTCTTCTGCGTGCGTGGATAAATAAAAAGGAGAATGCACTATCAACTACAGATGCTTTGTATTGTAAAATATAGATTTATTATGAAGCATGTCAGTTGCGTGACTCACGTCGTTAACTAGTCAAAGTTTGAAGGCGGAAACTCACTAAGCAATGACGTAATAAGTATTGTAGTTAATCATTATAACGAGATCGACGTGAGAACAATTGCTTCAAGGAGAAGGCGAGCATTTACAGAATTGCGTTTGTTTTTGTATTTTATTTGTATTCCCATGTAAGTTTCTGAGGCGTCAATAACCTCGTCGGTACAGATCGCGGAGGTTGCAATAAATACGACATCGACGGCTCTGCGCTGTGGCCTGGTCAAGAGCCTTTCAAGGTCAAGAGGCGAGGCGGGGAGTGTGAGTCCCATATCTGCGTATCTGAAACGACTTTGCAGGACCACTCACGTCGACATTCCACCGGACAAAAGTTACTTATGCTATTAAACAACTACTGGCTTGACCGTTTAAAGAAATGAGGTGCAACACAGAATAAAAACTAGCAACATGTTTAAATAAAGCTATTGTTATGATCTTATTAAATAATGGTGACATTAACACTTGTGAAATAGTCGACACGAGACTTTATAGGACAGTTTATAGGCTTAAATAACATCTGATAAGAAGCCAAAAAGGCTAGGAACCTTGTAACAGCTTGAAGAGAAAATGGTGACCGTCAATTTCTATGAGATTACGTGTGCTCGGGTCGCTGATTGCGTTGCTTTGCTTGTCAAGGTCGCAATACTAAGACTATTTGAAATTAAATGATATACTCAGAAATCACTAAACTTGTTGCACTTCTCATTCGCTTAGTTGAATATCAGAAAACACGTTGAATATTAACATATGTGATTTCTTATAAAAAAAAAGAATCCAATTCACTTTAAAATAAAAAATAAACATCAACATAAAACATAGTCGTGGGCTCGACACGTATAACGAGTTAAAAAGAGACGGAGACAATCATTCCACGCGAGGATTCAACAAAGGATCATTCGGTCGTGACAGGAAACATGGTGCTGTCACTTTTACTCACCGCAGATCGAGGAAACGCGCGGCCCTTGTTCTCCTATCACAGGACATGTCGTATGTCAGCCAATGCACTTTTATAAACACTTCACCAGCTAGCCACCACCATGCTTGCAGATCGCGCACTTGCGTCCGCACACTACATACACTACCACTGGCGGCGAGAGAGCGCGCGCACTGAGCTATGGCCGTGCGGAGCGCGAGGTACCTGCTGTTTCCGCGGCGCGACGAAGCGGAGGTGCGCATCGCGGCGTACGCGCAGGTACGAGCCGGGGGGGCGGCAGCCACACTCCGCACCATGCCGCCAGCCCTGCTGTCGGACTCGATACTAGTCAAAACAATTCTGATACAACCCCACCACAGAAGGTTCCACTTATACGTGCCGTAAAATATCTGAGCACATTGAACTAGAAATATTTATAGCAACATTGAGTAGCTAATTTAACGAGTCGGTGATAATAGTTATCAACTGCAGAAAAAAAACTATTATGAGCGATATCAGATCAATACGACATGTCCAAGATTTCATCTACATAATGAAGCAACCATTAATTAGCTTTCATTCGTCAATTACATTAATTACAGTAAGAAGAGGTTTCCAAATCATTGGTAAAGGAGAAACTTAAAATCCAACATTATGGCCAATCGTCCTAATTTGCATAATGTGAATTCTTATTGCTTGTACAAACATGACTCATTTCCGAAGGCTCCAACCAACTTTCACTAGCATGGTTAAATAATTGGCTGGAACCTGCATGTTAAAGACTAACCTATTATGATATCTCATATAATATTTAGAAAGGATTTGCTGATATTACAGAACTAACCGTAATCGTTATACTAGAAGTTTTAGCGTTGGAGAATATGCAAATGACTTTTTCTTTAAGCAAAAATACACTTTGCAACTGCCATTTGTACCAACTTTACTAAGTGAGAAACGTTGAGGGAGAATTTCTTTAAAGTGTAATGATCATTAAAGAACTTGATGAGGTTTCATTTGTCAGTATAGCTCACTGAACAGATAAGTTCGTAATCGAAAAGTTTTTGAAGATGAGCGTTTTAAATTTTGTGCCTTCGTTTTTAGTATGGGAAGGGGACACTACCTGCGATGTGTTGTTGAAAGTTGAACTTATAAGAGCACACCTGCAAACATTTGTGACGATATGTACTTGGTTCACCTGTTTGTTAGGTATTTTATCTAAAGCCAATTGATGAACCTTTTTAGCTTATAATGAAGTATACCATACTTATAACGTATATACCTAATTAAATACACTTTAATGTAAGATTTGTTTACTAGGCTGCCAATTATTAAGTGATTGTGTATAAAAGAAGGGAATAACATTAGAATAGTTTATTCATAATAAAAAATAAAATCTATCATAATGAGGTTTAAAAAACGTTCGTGATATAAGTGATAATCATTAGAAGAGGAGATCCGATGTGGTATCCTACATAGTCTTAATCGTCCATTAGTAAAAGGTTGCTCTTAAATTTCATTTCCAAAACGAGTAAAACGTATCTAATAGCGGACATCCACAATGGCGTAGCTATGTAAATAACACGAAATAGTAGCATCCTGAGCGCTTCCTCCGCTGTCTACTTATCCTCTTTTCCTCACGGCGCACAAAGCGTCCGTAGAATTCCCGGCGGGTACCGAAACGACCCTCCTGTTTTTTTCCGAGCCACCGAAATATCATTGTTGCCGCGTCTCGTTGTTCTCCGTGTAATTTAGTATTTTGTATAAAAACCGTCAATGAGTGACCGAGGAGCGCCATATTGAGATTTTTAATTTTAATTAATGTGTTAAATTCAATGTTATTAGTATATTTTTTTAGCGAAATAGAACTTTACCATGTTTTCTTTTTTATTTACGAAGGAAAGTAGTAACTTAAAGTAAAGAATTTTAAAGATAAAGAAAGGGACAAAACCGGTTACAATTTAAGAAGTCAGGGAATGAGACAACGTGAAATAAATTATTGCGTTCGGATCGAAGTAGCGACCACGACAATGTTCCATTGGAATAAAATCTTATAAGATGTAGGAAATAAAACATTTTCAAAATGTTATGTACCTATAGAAATTTGATACCGTTAAATTACTTGAAATCGAAGTAGCACGCGATGATGGACGGGGAAGTAAATCGATTTGATTCAACAAGGAAGCAAACTTGATGCAATGCTGCAATCAGATTCATCACAGTAATAAAACAACACCTTGCTTGCGTTCGAGGAAGCATTGCAACAAGATAGAAAAGAAAGGTCGCAAAAATAACATCAACACACAGCAAAAATTAAATTCATCTTTACTCAAACGATCCGCTGCATACAAAAAGTAGATAGTGACCATCTCGTAATTCTGTGTAAATATACAATTATAAATTAGACTCACGAAAAAACTACCATTATGAAATAGGAACTTCCATTTGATAAAAACAATCATATTCGCTAAACTATAGTGAACGTGGTATAACTTGTAAAATGAGCGTTTCATCAAACTGAAAACTGTTATTGAGGTATCATTGGATAAAAATATACAGGCAATTCATAAATCATCAATTCATCAACGTAAAAGCATCAATTTCATAAAAATATGGACCTAACATGACCTTTACTGTAATATAGTAGTAACGTGCTATCTGCTTCCATGCAAAAAAAAATGTGAATAACTAAAGTATTCAAATATGGTTCAAACTAGAAATGCGCCGAATATTCGTTTGGTATATTGCTTATTATTCGGTTCGAGTATTTCTATTTTCTTGACACGCTATACCTATAACTAAAAGACAAAACTTCTTAGGTAAAAAAAAATAAAAGATAAGCAAAAATAAATATATACATATTTAAATACATTCATTAATGGTAAATTATGGTGCAGAACAACCAAGCTCTCGGCTCTCTCCGGCAAGAGCCTGTTAGGTTTTTAACAGACTTCAAAATCGAAAAGGCGGAGGTTATATGTTTGACGTGGACTTTTTTTAGCTTTTTTTTTTCGCGAAATGTTGACCGAAAATTTTATATTCCCATTTTTTATTCGACAGCTTGATGGACCTAGGTGGTCCCATTAAAATTTTATCTAAATCGAAGTAATTTTCTTTTTATACAAAACAAAATATACTTATCATCAGATATCATCTAAATATATTGATGATATGTTTATATTAGAGAAAAAAAAACAAAAGATTGCGTAGTTTGCATTCATTCAAAATCCAAAAGATTTTGTAAGTAGCAGGTATGTTCATCGAGTTCTTGAATTATGAACCAATTTATAGAAATAGGTGACTTTTTTAAATGAAATAGTTTGATAGCAAACTAGCTGTTTCCCTACGACTTTTCCTGCGTAAAATATAGTCAGTAAGCTAGCCTAATACGCGGTATTATCTAGCTTTCCGTAAGTGAAAGAATTTTATAATCGGTCCAATAGTTTCGGGGTTTATGCAATGCAAACAAAGAAGCAATCAAAATTTTTATCTATTATATGAGTATAGATTATTGAAAAAAAAAAAACTATGTCGAGAAAATAAACAAAATTTCCTTTCCTAAGACTTTGAATTAGTGGACATATTTTAATATAGATATTTAATATTTTTAGTGTAAACAGAAAACATCAATTGACAAAAAGTATTAAATGAATTTGTGTTTGAAAAAGTGAACCGACTTCAAACTTTAAAAAGGGAGAAATAATACTTAACTTTAGTTGAATTCAGTGTCTAAAATCAGCAGTTGGGTTTAAAGAACAGCGAGAAGCGATTTTACTTAAACCACTTCAATGATACATAGATTTAATACCTCATAAAAAATGACATTGTCCTCGGTAGGACCGAGCTATCAGATCACACAGGTTCAAAAGTAAATTGCTGTGGTTTTTGAGTTAAAGTAAAATTTAATTATGCTAGGTGATTTTGTTTATTTACACTTTATAAAATCTAAAAGGGTGATTGAATATTTGCCTTTTAAGGACCTATTGTACTTCCGCTTAAGTTTCCATATAAATATCGCCTATCATTTAACAAACAAATACGCATCATTCCAGTATCACAGAAAAAAAACCAAATGCAGTTATAAAAACTATTTAGATCATTTTAGATTATATGAATACCTATTTTTGTATATATTTTTATATAGTTGAGATCGATCCAAAATTCCTACTTATATAGTAATATCTGCGACTTTTTTCTATCGAGCCAATTATTTGAATTTATTTTGCTGTTCTTTGCCAACAATCGACCATATATTTAATATTCATAAAATGATTTTGATTTTGCAAATATTACCATAGCCCTAATAAAATTGGTTTAAAAAGTGGTAATTTCGTAGAACCTCACCTGCAGCTCGCAGCATGCACAAGCAACACCATATTAATTCTCTTACAATTTCTGACGATTTCCAATAATAATAATACACAATGTTAATAACATCATAACATTATTTTCACATCATAAATTGGCTGATTGTAACATCGTTTCGGTCGGTGTAAACATAATCCAATCAGTAAAATATCAACTGAAATGAGTATATTTCGTTGCATGGAATATTTTTGGGGTTCCTACAAATAAAAAAAATCGGTACCCCTTAGAGTATAACTCTAAGCTTGAGTATAACTCGAGATTTGACTTTCTTGGAAACTACCGGATAGATTGAATTGATATTTGATCAGTGACTGTAATAATAAATGAATATTAAACATAGCGACCTCTCTTAAGGTAAGTATATTATGTACGCGATATATAAAATGAAAGCGCTTATTGCGAGGAACTTAAATACACATATTTTTAAAATAATTTTGGTGTTACTTAAGAAAATTAACCACCGCCTTTTGACTCCCAAAACTACTAGGGACTAAACCTAAAATAAAAAAAAAAGACTCAAAACATGGTCAGGTCAGACGTTTTTAAGTCTTTGAAATTTGATATTTATGCGGCACCCTTTGCCCGCGACTCTGACTCAATTAATTTCCGATGTAATTAAACAAAATTGTTATTAATTGATCCCGAAAAATTAAGCTTCAAGTTGGACAAGTCCAGGTTGGTTTATTGTTTCGTCTTTTTTTATTTTTTAGCCATTGTATCGTACAGTCGAGCCGCGGAAACCAGCCACTGTCATTGTAATCCTCAGGCAACGAGGAAGAGGAACCGATGCGTATTACGCAACTAAGGTCGCAGTGACCTAGTCGAAAAATCGCCTAAGTTGACGAAATCCAAACAAATACAGACACTATTTATTAAGATATGTTTCCTTGCGTACGTTGTGACCTTCGCTATACTTATCTTTAGCAATGTCAGCTTCGTTACACATTTTTAT